GGGCGGGGCGTATCGTATCTACCGCCCACCGCCCCTATCAACCTCACATGCTTGAATGGGCCAACTTTAAAAATGTATTATAAAAATCACTTGCGTGCTCTGTTTGCTTGACTTTTATTTTTTCATTCTCAGTTGAGGAAATGGGTTCGCCGCGTCGCCTTTTGGGTGCGCCTTAAATGCATTAGCTCAAACCAATAAAGCTCGGGAAAACCAAGCACAGCATGACGGACATGGCAAGGACGACCTTCAGAGTGGTCGGACTTTACGACTGGCAGTGGGAGTGAAAGTTGTGGTTAAAGTTTTCATTAATGAAAACAATAAAAGCTAACTTTGTTGCGAGCTGTTCATGTCATGTATATAAGTTCTTTAAAAAGTATGTGCAAAGAACGGTTGCTTTTAAGTTAATAAATTCTCTTCACAACAATATTTTTTCTTCGTTGTCGCATATACAATTACAAAGAAGAGAAAACTAGTTTTTTGATGAGGATATTAACATAATGATTTATTAGTGCTTTTCCAAACTAGCCATAGTTTACCGCACTTTTCCCCAGCGAATCTAGAGTAACTAAAATATTAGATATCGATCAGCCCAATTTAATGAGCCTACCGGCTATACTGTGCATATCAAATAATAGTAAATATGTGTTAATTTACCTGGACCCAAGTTCACCATCATTATGGCTACTTGCTAATGGAGTACATAGTCCATTGTGGGGCCAACTTTATCTGTCTGGGCTCATCGGGATGGGGATGGGATTTCCGAGGGATATGGACTTATTAAATGTTGAATTATTTATGGCAGCACAGTACGGGGGATGATCCTGCCGGCAGAGTCCTTCAGGTTATGTTTACACAACCTGGCTAATGCTTCGTTGGCTTTCGCCTAATTTGCCTTTCTGTTCAGGTTGTTGGTCGCTGCTGTGTAAGTTGTCTAATCGTAGGCCCACGCATGTTTACTTTGCGTCTACGGAAAATGCCTTTTAAATAACAACCTTGTCGCTTACATGAACTTACATATTAGCGGATAGCAGTCTGCCCATTTCCACTTCCCCTCCCATATTTATGTTTATGCTGGAGGCCTTTTATTGACTCCGCCAACGGACGAAGGCATGCGCATTTGCCAACTTCTATTGCCCGTTCACGTTATGGGAACTTTAGGAGAATTACCCTACATCTACCAGGTCCATAACTACCTCAAACGAACATGCATGACCCACTTTTGCCATATAAATTTACATGTGGACGATGGCAAGGAGGGACACCGTTCGGCCAGATGGGAGCACTAAATAATCAAATGCACGGTTCAATACACTGAACAGAATTTCCTCGATGACCAAGATCTTCTTGGTTGGGTAATATCGCCATCCATGACGTAATTGGCCTACATAAAGTCAAGCACATACATGTGTACTGATTCATTGCACTAATATACTTGCATGAAATCGCTGTTGCATTTATCTTATCAGTACATTTGCATTGGCGTTTTATATAGAGAAAATCCGAAAAATATTACATTCTTGGTAATTAGTTATTAAGAAACATAATCAAAGTTTAAACACATGTTATTATAATTATTGGGCTATATAGTTTTTTGAAGTGAATACACTTCTTATAAAATGAAGCCTTAATAAAAACCTAATCGGACTTTTGAATTTGAGAGGTACTCATACATTTCAGAAGAAGTATAGGTAGGCTGCACTGACTACGGCAACTTTTTACTGAAAAACGTTATATAAGTAACTTAGGTAATGATTAAAAATGGAAAAACGATCAATTGGTTCTGAATATTATTTTTTTCTGTTCCACACTTTGTACCGAAATTGTAGCACTCAACGAGTTCAGAGTATTAAAACATCATTAATTAAATGAAACACAGAAAAGGTCGGAGAACAATTAATAACTATACGGGTAGATCGTTATAAAGATGATTTAGCTAAAATGAATATGCAATCTTCATGAACATCATAAACTTCGAATTCAACCATGTAATTTGGATTTTGGGTTAGATCGATACCATCACAATTTTATTTGACAAACTGAAGGGAGAAATCACGTGCTTACCAACTTCACCCTATAAGAAGGGCGTGTGAGAAGCGCGGAGAGAGGCATTGGATAAGTTTTGGGAGGGTAAAATAAGTACCGCTTGGGGGCTAAAAGGGGCGTTACCCACTCGACCCACATTCTCTACTTCCAAATCGAAATCGAAAACACCAAGTTGGATTTGTGTTGCGAAGTTTCGTGAGTTTCACTTTTATTCCCTGTGGCTTCTTTTTCTGTATTGGGCAAATAATTCAGCAATCAACGTGCTCATCGTGGAGCTAAACTCGCATTAATTTTGCATTTCTCGAAAACGCCTAATAAATCGAGTCAGGCCCGGTAATTGCGCTTCGCGAAAACGCTATTAAAGATTCAACAGCTCGAGACGCCCCCAGGGTAAATATGAATCCGCACCTAAGTGGGGAGGGCCCAATTAGGTGACATGCGATAAAGCAAGACACAAGGCACAAAAAAGTTGCCCGAGTGAAACCGCCTTCCGTTTTCCCGTATCCCCGTATCCCCCGATTCCTGGCTGCATGTCCACCCCGAGGGATACAAGATACCGCGGATGGCGGTGGGTGCATTACTTGGTGGCTTGTTAATGGACTTGACACTTGGCCAACAGTTGGTCACGCGCCACAAGACGACGCCCATAATGATGATAATTACAAGACCAACAGCTGTCACCTTCCCGCTATAACTTGCACTTGTTGTTCCGCTCGATCCGGCTATTGAAGGTTTTGTTTTGTATCCAAAGGAATATGATTAATGACGTGGGCTCTTCGCTTGGCCAGCGGGTGAGTAACGCTTGACCTAAAAAACATCGTCAGTGAAAGTGAACACATAAAAATATGGCCAACTTGGAGTTGCGAGGAAAGTGAGCGGAGAGGCACAATCAAAACAAATAAATACGGGAATAAAAAGAACATCAAATAATTATTAACAATTGATCAAGATCCGGTTGTAAAATGAGAATGGTTTCGACCTAAATTTAGGATAAGATAAGTACGTCATTAAGTTATTTACAAAAAAAAATAAAAGTAATAAATACGCATGGATTCTATGTACAGATTGCGATCAATAGATTAATTAAACAAGAATTAAAAACGGAAACGCTGTATTGAGACCTTATCAACCATAATTGATAACAACACTACCCAAATTAAATTAACTTTGTATTAGAGTTCCCAGAAATCAAAATAAATTCCAATAAATCCGAAGTTTGCTTGCTGGGAAGAAATAATAAAAGCTTTGACAATAAAGGTTTATTGCCTGCTGACGTTATAAACAGAAATAAGCCACTTCATAGTGAACAAATCAATATCTTATCGGAGAAAACGGTCAACAAAATATGATTACATTTTAAGAACCTGGTCAAACTGGTGTGCTCTTGAACGTCATATATGTACATAGGTACGACAATTCTGTTCTGTTGCAGAATGCAAGCACCTGTCAATTAGAGAATTGCATTTACCAGGCCACAAACAAAAGTTGTATGGAAAAAGTGGTAACAACGACAAAACAAATATAATTATATGGTCATAAAGGGGCGCTGAAAGGGGACGCTGGCAAATTGTGTTAGAATGTGCAATTTTGCTAATGACCCAATTAGAACGATGGCCATAGCTTTCACCGAACTGCGACCTGTTCTCCTTTATTTTATTTTGCTGTAACTGTCGAGCAGGCTGACAGGACATGTCAGAACCACAATCTGGATTCAAGCACTGCAAGGACACTATCCACACAATGCCAGAAAGTTCAGGGCAAGAGACAAGAGACAGGAGGATTATTTTTTCCGAGGGTCGAACACGCGACTGTTAAAAATTACATTTTCCAGCCATAACAGTTTCGCGCCGGACGAAGTGAACTTGAATGAAATGGAATTGTCCATGTCCTTGCGCTTCCTCGTCCCCATTCCCTTGCCAAACTCTCTTCGCGGACTCTTTCATAAATATCTAAGCAGGGCAAAGATGACGACATTACATGATTCCCGAACGAGCAGACATGCGACACACAAAAATTAAAAAAAAAACCTTAAAAAATAAAAGAGGAATACTTTCACAATTACGAAGGGGAAACTCCAGCACCCACTCACCTCCTCATCGTCATCATCTTTTGGCCAAGGTCGAGGTCGAGTGGTGGCATATTACTTTGCAATTTACTTGTTACTTTAATAACCGACCCACATGCGAACCCTGACCGCCAACCCACAGTTCCACACTTGGCACATCCCCCTCCATTAACAAAGCACTTATCCCAATCCCTGACCTTAGTCCGCCCTTAACAACTAACCAAATAACCCAGCTAAACCAAACCGAAACATTCCAACTTAACTCGCATGTAAATTGTCTTGCGTGGCGGACCATCAATGTGTTCATTTGACAATAATTGAGTTTCAGTTATGACGAGCATTTCATGAATATTGAATGGCTTTTATATATCTGTATAGGTATGACGGCTTGAGCGACATTTCGTGACCAGTAGCTGACATTTTGGAAGCCTTATGAAGGTTGATTCTTGGCTTTTTTAAAAGTTTTTTTAACCAGATGCAGTGAAAACTCTATATAAATTAATTACCCTCTTCTTAATATTAATGGTTTATAAGTCTTAAATGTATGACTTGAAAAACAAAAGGAAAAATCCGTCAGTGTTTCAGAATTTATAAATTTTTTTATGTCGGGGACTTAAGATTAATTTCCCCTGAAATATGACTACAACTGCAATCGCTTTAAGATTAGATAGGAGATTAATTTAATTTAATAATGTAGCGCTAACCTCCGAATATTAGATTGTTAAGAAAGGCATAAAATATAAAAGGACCATAAAACGTATAGATATTTGTCTTTTTTCGATAAATTTCCAGCTGGATTTATCATTTTTCCCCTGTATGACTTGATTAAGTGCAAATTATTTGAGTTATGACAGATAATCTTAATCAATTTGTGCTTTCTCTTTTGTTGCAGAGAGACGGAACGGTACAAGAAGGTGAAATGGCAGGACCTGCGTGTTGGGGACATTGTCCACCTGTCCAACAACGAGACGGTGCCGGCGGACATTCTGCTATTGCGGACAAGCGACACCCAAGGGGTCTGCTACATAGACACCTGCGATTTGGACGGGGAAACGAATCTGAAGCGTCGCGAGGTAAGTTCCCAACAATTAGCCAACCCAGAAACGCTACGTGATACTACAGATATTTGGCATTTCTTCGCAGGTTGTACGTGGCTTTGAAGAGTTGCAGAGCATTTTTGTGCCCAGCAAGTTTGTGAGTCGCGTGGAAGCGGATGCGCCGACAACGAAGCTATATAGATTCCATGGGGCCTTAATACATCCAACTGGGGAGCGTGTGCCCATATCGACCGAGTGCCTTTTGCTGAGAGAGAGCAGACTGAAGGTGGGTAAACTTTACCCGGGTTTAATGTGTTTTTCTTAATCTGAACCTGACAATTATCTTTGTTTCAGAATACGGACTATATCGAGGGTATCGTGGTCTATGCGGGACATGAAACGAAGTCAATGCTGAATAACAGTGGTCCAAGGTACAAGCGCTCCCAGGTGGAACAGCAAATGAATATTGATGTGATATGGTAAGTGTGTTGATTCATTAAATCCAGAAATAACAAAGTATATAAAATTGTCCTTTCTTTCGATTACTTTTAGGTGTGTGATAATTTTGTTGATACTGTGCGTTGTTGGCGCCATCGGCTGCAGAATGTGGCTGAGCTCGTTTACCAACTTCCCAGTGCCCTATCTGCCGGTGGATAATCTTAATCCCAATCTTGAAAGCTTGTGGATATTCTGGACGTACATCGTCATCCTGCAGGTGATGATTCCTCTATCGCTGTACGTGACCATCGAGCTGTGCAAGATCCTACAGGTCTTTCACATCCACAACAACGTTGATCTATACGATCAGGAGACAAATAAGCAGACGGAATGTCGGGCGATGAATATCACCGAGGAGCTGGGACAGATCCAGCATATATTTACTGATAAAACTGGCACTCTCACTGAGAACAAGATGATCTTTCGACGCTGCGTTGTGAACGGGTCGGATTACAATCATCCGCCTTCGGAGCTGGAAAAGATGTACACTAAGCCAGGAGCACCAGCTCCGCCGCTGACACCGAATGAAAACTTAAATAATGACATGACACAATTCACACAAGGGGCGTATCTTACTCCCCATGCGCAACGCATTCAGGAGTTTCTGGTGGTGCTGGCCATCTGCAACACGGTCATCGTGGGTGCCGCTCCCCATCGGGATCTGATGAATGCCAGCGGGATTATCGAGGTGCAGCAAATGGGCAGTAGTCCGGCGAACCTAAAGCACGGCAAGCAGCGACAAAAGCTGCTGGCCACCAGTACTACGACAACAACGACAACCATATTAAATGGGCCAGTGATACAGCAGCAGCCCGTATCCATACCAGCAGACCGTTATATCCGGTTGGCAGAATCACGATCAGTGACTCCCTCTCCGCCGCCCAATCTGCTTTTTGCCCTGCCAGCCCAAAGTCACCAACCCACTCTTTCGCCCATCAGCAGTTCGGCAGAATCTTCACCGAATTCCGAGTCTGAGTCACCCTCACCGCCGATGAAGAACAAGAGCCTTTCCAACAGTATTTCGCCTACAGGAAGGGCCAAGGCAGTCATCAACTCCAAGATTACCAGTTTGGCAACCTTCTTGAATACGCGAACTCAGGGAAAGCGCTTGAAGCTACCGTGAGTTTTTATACTTATTGAATTTTAAAAAATTATAACATACTAATTCGCATTGTCTAATTCCAGCTCATCCAAAACGGAGACCATTTACAGAACCGCCGATGGACGACCTCTTTACGAAGCCGAGAGTCCCGATGAATTGGCCCTGGTGAATGCTGCCTATAGCTATGATTGTTGTCTGCTAAATCGTAGTGCCAACCAAATTTTGGTCAGCATGCCCATGGGGGGTGCCACGAAAGAGTATGAGATACTCAAAGTACTGCCCTTTGACTCCAGTCGCAAGTGCATGTCCATTGTGGTTCGGCAAATTGGCACCCAGGAGATAGTGCTGTACACCAAGGGTGCGGATAGTTCCATCATGCCTGTACTGGCGCCCTGCTCGCATAACAGTCCCGAGGGGATTTTGCGAGAACAGACGCAGCAAGAGTTGGATCGCTATGCCCGCGAGGGTCTGCGTATCTTAGTGATGGCCAAGAGGACCCTGAACTCTGCTGACTATACGGATTGGTGGGCTCGCCATCAGGAGATTGAGATGTCGCTGGAGAATCGCGAGCGAAGACTGCGCGACTCTTTCGGAAAGCTAGAAAGCAATCTGACCCTGTTGGGGGCAACAGGTATCGAGGATCGCCTGCAAGAAGGAGTGCCAGAGACGATAGCATCACTACTCTCAGCGGGCATCTCAGTTTGGGTTTTGACAGGCGATAAACCCGAAACGGCCATAAATATTGCCTATTCCGCTAAACTATTCACTCAGCAAATGGAGCTCATCAGGCAAGTAAAGCTGTGTTACTAATTTGGATTAATTTCCTTATGTACATTAGTTAGCACATATTAAAAACATGAACAAATTTGTATACCCACAATATTTTGTGTTGTTCTAATTAGACTTTCGCAATTTATGTAGGTTGACAGCGAGATCCCGCGATGCAGCTGAAACAGCTATAAATTTCTATCTGACTGACATGGAGAATGACAAGACAACATCCACTTTGTGCTATGGCCAGACGATTAGAAAGAAACAGCGCGCATTGGTGGTGGATGGAAAGACGCTAACCTTTATTCTAGATCCCAAGTGAGTTTTTAAAAACTTGGTAATTCTTCTTCATCTAAACAATTTGCTCACTTCTACTAGGTCCAAACTGATTCTGCCGTTTTTGCGGTTGTCGAAGAGATGCGCTTCGGTACTCTGTTGCCGCTCCACGCCCCTGCAGAAGGCATACCTAGTCAAAGTGGTTAAAGAGGAGCTCAATCTGCGAACCTTGGCCATTGGTGATGGAGCCAACGATGTGTCCATGATCCAAATGGCCGACGTGGGCGTTGGAATCTCTGGTCAGGAGGGCATGCAAGCTGTGATGGCAGCCGACTTCACTCTGCCCCGCTTTCGTTACCTGGAGCGGTTACTTTTGGCGCATGGTTATTGGTGCTACGACCGATTGTCCCGCATGATTTTGTACTTTTTCTATAAGAATGCTGTAAGTCTCATGCCAATACATATTTTTATAATCAATATTTTATTAAAAACTTTAAATGCAGTAGAACTGCCATATTCAGATTTTAATTGTATAACTACGGTTATTTAATTTAATTTCGTATTTATATGAAACTTATAGAATTTGAATATTTAGTTAAAAACTAACAACCTCGAAAATTTTCAGGCCTTTGTCTTTCTGATATTCTGGTACCAGTTGTATTGCGGGTTTTCTGGATCCGTGATGATGGATCAAATGTACTTGATGCTGTATAATTTGATATTCACCTCGCTGCCGCCTTTGGCCATTGGAGTGTACGACAAGCGTGTGCCCGAAGATCTCCTTCTAAAAAATCCATATCTTTATAAAAATGTGAGTTACCGAACAAGCTTTATTAGTTTAAATCACGGACCAGTTCGACGATTAAACTCGTTCATTAAACCGGCTATCTGATTACTAAATTAAATCTATTACTTTTTGTCATCTCAGGGTCGACTAAGCGTAGCTTATAGACCGCACGACTTCTGGCTGATATTACTGGATGCCCTCTATCAGAGCCTGGTTATATTTTTCGTGGCGCTGTGCGCCTATGCGGAAAGCGATGTGGGGATCTGGGAGTTTGGTACGACGATAACGGCGTCCTGTCTGTTCGCCAATCTCGTGCACTGTGCCATTGAAATACGTTCCTGGGTGAGTCATTAGTTATTATTTTATTAAATACGTAAAAATATTTTTTCCATAAACTCCATCGGAATATGGCATGTAAAGAATAAGTCATATTGTAATGCAGTTAACTGAAAAACCTATTTTTGCGTTTTAAAAAGATTTGCATTTCTATTGAGAAAGTAAATATGTAGTATGGGCTAAAAATATCTGTTTAAAATAATTATCTTCCAATTATTTTTAAGTTGGTACATAAGTAAAGTCTTACTCAATTTATTAAATGTTCTTATTTTCAGACTGTGCTGCATGTCTTATCCATAGTGGTTAGCTTAGGTTCCTTCTACCTCTTTTCGATTGTGTACAATTCAATTTGCGCGAATTGTTTCGGAGTGCTTTCCACGTACTGGGTGATCTTTGTGTGCTTCTCCTCTGCTCTCCACTGGCTGGTGATACTGCTCTCCACAGTGGTGGCTGTTCTGCCACGGTAAGTGTGGGATAAGAAATTGTGTTCGAAAATTTAACTGATTAAACTTTAATTTTTTTACAGCCTGCTTCTGACCACAGTGCGTATCTCGCTGTGTCCCGACGACAGCACCAAAGTTATCCTGCAAAGCAAACGTGAACGCAGCAGAGGTGAGGGTTTGTTAGTTACTTGGTCGCGCTCCACGTCAGCCTCATCAATCTATAGGTAAAAAGGCACAAAATACTTGACAACAACCTGCAGCTGTTTTCTTTGCACAATTTGAGTAAAACCTTCTGAGCATGTGACTTTTACAATATATGAGTTATTATGATTTTGTGTCTTTTTATTTGTACCTTGCTTTGCCTATCCTTATTCCCTGTCTTTACTCCCGTACATAACTTAAATAAATGCATTTAATTTTACAGAATCACCGATTATGGGTCTAAGAATCAGATTATAACAACGATTACCTGATCGAGCGCCAATATGCAATTCCTCGGCTATCTCAGCAGTAACTAGGATAAGGAAACACAACTAGCAACCCCTTAAACTTGTACACATGTGCTTTCACTTTAATTATGTGGCCTTCGACACCGATTATTAATAATATTGCATTAGTTTAGTTGATCCACTTTGTTCCGTATGTTCCGAGAGAAATTAGCTTAAATGTACTTAGTGACCAATTGAAATAATTTGTTTAGTGAATGATTTGTTGAAGACGCGCTTAGGGGTCCAACTTAACTTCAGAGTTTTCCCCTAACGCTAGAAAGAAAGCAATTGCAGTTGCACAATTGCACTTATGTCATAGTTTACATATTTATTTGTATATAAGTAGAGAGTTAGTGCACTAGAACCGAACCCAACCTAACCGACTATTGTTAAACAGAACCGAAAATACAATGATAATTCATGTGGGTACAATGTACGAATATTTAAACTAGCGACTATTATATGTATCACCCTAACAGAAATACTTGACAATTCAAACACAACAGAACTCCATTGCGAGTTCGATGAAAAGGCTGTGATTCTACACTCATGAAGGATATACCTAAGCATAAGATATATATACACATACCTATAGACATAGACTTGTACGTTAGTTGCATTGATTCAAGTATTGACAGAATTGTTTCTCACCTTCTGTTTCTTAGTTTATTGTGTGAACAAGTGAATTTTTTACTTTTTTATTGAGACCATGCGATGACAAGTGGTAATAATCGATTGTTGTAATCCATTAGTTGTACTAAACCATTTACTCTACTTGTAGTCCTCTTCAAAAAGAATACGAAACTCTAAATGCAATTCGAAATTAACCTAATACGTTAACAGGAAAGATATAAGAGAGCAAAACTCGTTAGCTGAATATTTACATTGTTGAAAAGCAAGAAATCATTAAATGAAATAAATGTATATTTACCTAAAACTCTTACTGCGTGTTTAATGGTGAGTGTGAATGGGAATGCAGAATGCATTGCTCATAAAAGGTAACGCCCAATTTTAATTTTTAGCCCTAGTCACAATGAGCGAGATCAGGGAAAATTTTACATTCCTAAAAATGTACTTCAAATGATAGGTAAGCTACGCTTTTAAATTTGTTTTAGATAATATAATATCTAGCCGAATGGGTTTTCTTAGTTTTATGTGGATTAAATTCTATTAATACAGATGTTATTTGAAGCTTATTTTGTATTTTTTTTGCTTAATATATAAAATTACTGCTTTTATATTATTATTTCATGTAACCTTTAATTATGAAGAAATCTTATCTTTAATTTAATACCAAAATGTGGAACTGGGTTAACATCTTCGTACTGATTCTAAATTTGATCCAGTATAGTTTTTTCTCCGTGGGATTAGGATTTTACTACTCAGGACAGCTTTTTGGTTTCTAAAAAACCTTACTCTTTCGTTTCTTATTCAATTATCTTAAAAGTTGGTAAGAAAAAAGCATTTAGCTTAAGGATCGAATGTTCATATGACTGGGTGGGAGATGTGCCTCTTCCTTTCAAACACCTGAATTTATCCCAAGTTCCCCCAAAGATCAGGGTAAGAGCTAAATCAGAAAAAAATTTGACTGTGTTTATACGGACGTAAGTTAGCACTAAGCTCGAATTAGTCTCCAGACAATTTTAAACGAAATTTAAGAAGCCGAACAATTTTAAAGTGGAATCCCCCATCTATTATCTAATGGTCGTGTACACGCTAAATATCCAGCACACTTACCATGGTTTGAGTCCAGATCAGAGGCTGAGATAGTGGTGTAAGTCGGAAGAAAAATGCAATGGTGTCGTGTCGTTATAAATATCGCATAATTACTATGCGTTGTTTGTTTCCGTACCGATGCAATCTTTGCTAAGATTATTTAATAAGTATTTTAAACAATTTATTCGACTTCTTACACTGATTTGTAAAAATATACATTGTTCAAATATTAGCCGATATATCGATATTTCTGTCATCCCTAGACTGAGAGCGTTCTCTCTCCGTCTTTCTACATTCGCTTTATCACCCCATTCGTCTTTTGAAATCCAAATTCGACGGATGGTAAAAATTTGACGGATGGTCAAGATTCAACTGAACGGATTCGCGTCGGAGTAATTAAGCCACCTTTTTTGTTTTTTTGAGGCGGCAAAACGAAGAAGTGTCGAATTAATTTTATTCTACTTTCGCGAGAAGCATCGCTCCGGCGGGCGTGTGTGTGGAAAAACATAAATAAAGTGCAATTACGGGTCAGTAACCCAAACAAAGAAGTGATAAGAGTGAAAAGGGTCCTTGAATGCGAGTGTAAAGAGTGATAAGTCTGTGCTCTAAAATCTCTTATTTTTTTCGAATGTGTGGGTGTGCTTCTGTTTGGCTCACCTGTGTGTGTGCGGACATCTGTTCTGTCTCGTCTTCTTATGTTTCCAACCGTCCGTCTCTCTGTCCTCTCCGTCCACCCTATCCCTTTCCGACCTCCTGCGGTCCAGTCTCCTCGTCTTGCTCTACATACCCACCAGGTAAAGGTGTAAGTGTGTGGGGGCTTACAGGGCTGTTCTCTCTCGCGCTCTCTCTCGGTGTGTGGTAAACTTTTTATTGTTCTTTCATAATCCAACAAATAAATTATTCTAATGTGCAAAAGTAGATTTCGATGCTAGCAAATGAAGTTCAATCTTTTCGGAGCAGATAATTAAAAATTTAAAATTAAAAAAATAAATTCATTATTTCGCTTTAGTTTAATTCAGATAACAGATCGTGACGAATGGTTAAAACCCAAAAATGTTTTTTAATTATTGACAAAGTATGACTTAATAAGTTTTAATATTGTTTTTAAAGAACAAATTTTAAATGTCTTTTTCAGGGTTTTTTGTTACCAGAAAATCAAACACACTTGTGTGGAGCGTATTCAGCTCTTGTTTTTAAACGAACTGCAATTCTTGTTGAAACTAACAAATTAACAGAGAGCATTTCAATGCCAAAGAACAAGAGTGTGAACATTTCCAAGGTGATAGATTAGTTTCTTTGCTTTTGAGACACCCTGTTTTTCCTTTAAAGGCACTTGTTACAGATTCCCTTTTCCTTCTTTCACTCTCTTTTCTCCCGCTCCCCCACTGAGTTTTCCTTTGTGACGTTTTATGGCGTTTTCTTCGTTGTTGCTTTTCAATTGATTTATTTTTGCATAATCGTTCATTGCCAGACCAAAGAAACTTATAAGCAAGGAAAAAATAAAAACGCACGCTAAGTACAATTGACATGTGTATATGTAGTACTCGCACATGCTCACATTTCTACTATAGCAAAAGGTATTGTGATTTTTGACAAAAGGCGAATGATTTGCAGACCCGTGCTAATGGCAAAATCATACTCCCATTAGTTGCCGATAAATGATCAATGGCATTCTGTACATTTCTGTACTTGGAGCTCTTGAGAATGATTTAGCTGTGTTCAAAATTAACCGTTGATCCCCGAAAAATAAGTACAAACTGGTTTTCCTGTCACAACTCACCCGATTTATCACACCTATTCTAAAAATGAGTGTGACAAATTTCAAATTAAAATTTGTTCAATAAAGAAATGCAACTTTCTATCGGAGGTATTGGTGAATTCAAAGGAAAACACTCAACTGAAAAAAAATATACAAATACACAAGTGTTTTAATTCGAATATTGTTATGATTACAACATTAAATATCGGCTATTAGCACTCGCGAAAAATGCTTATTAAAATGCATTGGTCGGAAGAAATTAATTCAAAATTAATTAATTAATAAATAATTAAAAAAAAGATATATTGCTTTAGTTTGACGGTCTATGGATTTATTGCATAGCTTGACCTTTTTTTTTTAATAAAAAAATTAAATAAAAGTAAAGTATATATATAATTTGTGTACAAAATTTTTATATTTCGAAGAATTGTTACCTTTAAGAAAATGGTTTCCATCGTATACTTTTTGTTTTTTCTCATTACGAAAAACGACTAGATAAAACGTACACATATGTATATCCACAAAATATTAGAAAAAAACATACATATGTACAAATCCGATTTGTTAACCGATTTGCCTGCATTTACACCTTGATGTGTAATTCCAATGTTCGTATATCTTGTTCCATTTCTTGCGCTTGGCTGGCGCTCTCTTTTCTTCCCTGCTCCTCTCTTTCGTTACCTTTTGCTGTTGGTAGCCCCAATTAGCTGGGTTTTCTTGCCAAATCTTCGCACGTAACCAAAAGAGCGAGGTAAAAACACTAACAACATTAAGGCATCAACATAATCCCGCGATCGCGTTGAGCTCTCTTTCTAACGGTGTTTGTGCTGCTGCTTTTCTCTCGGTCGATCAAGAAACTCAAAAACCGGTTGAACACAGATCTAAGCTCTTCGTTCGCCCCGCTCGACTTGCTTAGAAAAACTCACTCTCTCCCGGGAGACAAAGACAAGTCCGCGTTTGTTATTGTTCAATAAGTAAAATAATTCATTCAATTATTTTCAGCGAGACAAAAATGTGCAATTTTAATGCCAAGTAACTCGAAAAATCTCTTTTCGATTTGTGTGTTTACAAATAAATCCCCAAATTAATGTGCGAAAGAATCTCAATGAACAATCAAATTGAATGAAAAGTCGCAGCAAAAATTAAAAGCAAGCAGGAAAAGCAAGGAAAGCAAAGTTGAAGGTGAGTCCTCAAAAATGTATTTGTTTTGATTTTACGATTGCCATCTTTTGAAAACTTGTCAACGGTTGTGTCAGCTGCTCTATAAACTTCCCACACATGGCCTGAAAATATCAAGTTGTTAACATTGCAATGGGCCAGTTGGGAAGTTACGTGACTTCTTTTTTTCACCGAAAACCACTTAAACGTAACTGCTTCGGTGACGAAAATTGAAATCGAATCGCCGAGTGTGTCACACAATATCAATCAAAGTCTTTGAAACAAAGCTTCAACAGCTGAAACTGCAATTCGATTTATCAGAACACGGCGTAGGGATAACTTTTCCGACTGGCGGAAAATCGATTGCAACGTCAGCGATTGGTACGGCTTTAGGACTTCCTAGTAGTCAAACTTTGCCCACGAGGGCATTCAACCTTAACCGAAAATCAGGACCCTAGATTTCATTCCATTCGATTTGTGACCCGATTTGTATGCCATTTCCATATGAGCTTACTTTTTGGTAGGATTGACTCTAAATGTAACATGCGTTTTGATCACATGGATTGTACGTCAAGATAGTTGCCAAAAGAGCTTCATGAAGCTTAAGTGGGAGTTTCATTAGAAAATCAACAACTATTTTATGATAGGCAGTATAGTTATTATAGAAAGTGTGGTTAAATTTTATTGGTAAATCTCACATTACTAAGTCAAAATGAAGTCGTACATCATCACCTTAGCGCCATACAAGGTAATGAAAACCAACACGTTATTTGTTTTCCAAATTACGATATATAATAACTCAAAAAGTTGTTTGTGTCAATCATTCTAAAATTTTGAACACACTTTTTAAAAAGTAATACATACTGCCTAAATCCGCTCGTTTCTGAAATTTTGATTAATGCAATTTTTCAAGTACAAAATAATACATCAAAATATAATACAATACAAGTGATTTATTTAAAAAAAATCTTTAGAAATATAAACAGTAGACATTACAAAAAAAAAATTCACTAAGCCAATTGAAACTTATCTGAGTTTTTATTTTAACGTAATAAATACAATTTTAAGTGTTATTAAAACTCTTTTCGTCCAGGATTCTCAACTATTGTACAATCTTTAGTTTTGACAATATTTATTGCAGCTGCGGTCTTGCGTATTGTTTTCCACAGTCGTAAAAACTTTTCATTTTATTTCTCAATTCCCCGATCAATCCTCCATGCATTTGGTTTTGTGTCTATATTTCATTTATCTTCGCAGTGAAATGTTTTCGCCTTTGACTCTGCTTTTGCTTTGGCTTTTGTGCAAGCGCTGAATGAGTTTTCACATATTGTCTAATTACGTCTTTAAACGAGCATTGAATATAATTTAATTTAAGAGTCATAGACGGAATGGTTTTATAATCTAGGAGTCGCGCTATTACATCATTAACGTACTTGAAAATTGTTTAATTTTGTGTGAAAAGTCACAGGAGAAGTGAATGATAAGATGTTCAAAGGAATATGAAATGCTTATTAACTTTTCCACAACGTCAGCGGAAAACTTTAAGAAGTTGAACAGCCACAACTATTCATCAGTTTAGGAGAACTGTTTATCTAGGCAAACTTTGCAAATTGTAAATTTTCCTCCAATATGCCCATTATCGTTTGCTGAATATACTTAAAATAATCATCTTAAAAGGTCATTAAAAAAGCATAAAATCGAACACAGAAAGTACTCAAAATATAAGATGACAAAATGTTTACATTTCAGCTTATTCGTTGTCAGGAACAAATTTGTCCAGATGTTTTTAATTACTATAACATTGTAGTTTTTGGGGGACTGCTCCAATTGAAAGAAAGAGTCACGCCAACTGATTCCAGTTTTAGGGTTACTAGACAAAAATCGCACGAAATTTCTCAAATTCGTCATTGACTTTTGTTTTCGTTTCTCATTCTCAGGCGGAGAAAGCGCGGTTTTAAAACAAAGCCAACAGCAACGGCGATCAGAAATTATACAAATTTCGGTTGTGTGGCGGCGGGCACAACAATGATAACCATTTTAGTAAATTCACCAAATGCCAGTAAGAGAAAAACCTACAACAAATGTAGTTTTTTGTTTACATTTCTTGTTTTTTCCTTCTCGACTGCACACAAATTGCGTTGAACACAGATTTAGGGCCAGCCACTCATTCATTCATTCACTCACTCGTTCACTTGGTTCACGTTCACGTTCATTCACCTATTTATTTAATTTTTCGTGTGTATTTTTCAACTTTTCCTGTTGTAATTTTTTGATTGCTCTGACTGTGTCGCATGTTGGCGTTTTTAGGTCAGTTCCAATCTCTGTTTTTGCCCTGCCTGCACACGCAAATTAAAGTTTACCCCATATATCCGCCTTTCAACTTTTCCTGATTTTCATTTCTAAACATTAAAAGCATTAAGCATTTAAAGTTTTGATATTTATTCAGGCATTTTTGGTGCTTCTCCCTATGTGAGTTGAATTTTAATTTAGGCTGAACTCAGTTTACTTTCTATTTTCTTTATAAATTCGAAAACTTGATAGCTTCTTAGCCTAAATTAATGAACTGCTCTTTGAAATAAAGCATACATACACCACAGAAGTTTAACATATTTAAAGATCAAAAGTTATGCTGTTCCCAATTCTTTGTTGGGCCACTCCAAAGAACTCTCTTACCTTAAATTTTCTAGTGTCGGATGTTAGCCTTTAGCTAATCCCGCCCCTTAGATTAAGTCCCGCAGAGAAGAAGTTAAACAAACAAGCGGGAAAAACAAACAAACCGAATGAAAAGCTCTTCTGGGGCAAGTGATGATTCTGGGAGGGAGCATAATCCGATCTATCCAATGCTCTGTTGATTTGTCTTCATTATCAGCTCGTTGACTGTTTGCTATTTGCTTTTGATTCTCGGGTAAACAGAGAGCAGGCGACGTGGCCGTGATTGTTTGTTGTGTTTGCTTTTTTGTGGTAAGACTATTTTTAATCTTCGAGCACACAGCGCGTTGCCAAGTCGTTCCTCCCACAGCATTTTCTGCTCACCCCCTAAGTTACACCCCCCGGAAACCCCCACGGCGTATGAGTTATTTTCGTTTGTTCGATGGGTTTAAGTCGATCGGACGCTGCACATTTTATGAATGCCTTTGACAGCCCCACAACCGACTCGTTTCCAATAAACAGACAAACAGTGGATGCTGATTTTGTAACAATTTAGTAGAAGAAAATCAATACATTTGCATTGCATTGGGTTTAAATTGGATTAGTTTGTCACACAATATTATCCTTGAGTTCTATATTTGTGTACAGTTGAGGATTTACTATAATTACAAAACATTCATTTAGTTTGACAAAATCTAAAAGCCTCGATTTTCTATTTCGTCTACTAATTCCCATAATTGTCCTTTTTCACCCTATACAATTTCGTTTTTCTATCCATTTGTAATGTAATTAAACTCTTTTTTTGAACTCCTAGTATTCTTATTTAATCATCAACCACAAAGTCTTAATCATTTAACTGCCAAAATGTTTTTACTCATTTTAGTGTTTGTTCCAAGGGTCTTATTTTTGAGACCGTTGTCAATGCTATCTAAATATCCCTTAAATCACTGTGGCTAGTCTACTGGTGTTTTCTGTTCGTCTGAGATATAAATACTTATATGGCTTGTTTTATTCAGGCAATGCAGCTAGTTTATCTCTGATATATTGACGCATGGCTCCTGTTGGGGCTTCCATTGTTTCTATTTTAATTATTCCGCATCTTTATAATTCCCAAACATGCGTCAAATGCCCCCGAGATGCAAACACAAGCAGTTATATGACTATAAAGGAATATGGCCTAGCTTTGGGAACTGGTACGTGAAATGATTTCAGCCAAATGTTGGCTTAATAACTGTTTTTGTTTGCTTCTGGCTTCCCAGAGCCATATATTCATTTCCTTCTGCCATACCCCCTTTTCCCCATCCCAGTTTCCCGTTTCCCAGGCAAGTGTCTTTTGTTTTATCAGCTGCAAAAAGTTTAGTTGAATAAACAAGTGAACCTTTTTCTGGCTCGTATATTGTGTTGTGCTGCGAATTTGAATTATTATCCAAGAGCCTGTGACGTCAAACTGCAGTGTGAATCAAGGGGACGAGGTAAAATAAATATGTTCTTTAACTGGCCTTTCAATTTCAAGGTGTTTATTTAATTCCCGGATTGATCGTAGGTAAGGTAGCACAAAATTCGCATTACGTTTTATCTGCCCCAAGGTTAAGGCATTTTGGATTCTGTAATGTCAGAAAGCGGTTATATAACATTCTTATCTGCCATAGCTAATTCTCAGGATTAATCTGTGTCATTCTGTTTGAGTTTGTGCCACTCTTTGACTGGCCTTCGCAGCCGGTCGAACGAGTACCAATGACCAATGCGATATGGCTACAGATGCTGATCTATATGTATCTACCGTAGATACCGGTTTGCAGAAACACACCCACTTGAAATGCTGTCATCTAGTGCTGAAATGTCCAAGACAAGAGGACACATAAAAAAACAACGGCTTGATGTTTGAATTAATTAATTGATTACTAAACAAAGTAATTTAGATTTTATTTTAAGTAAGTTCCGATTCCTACAAATGCTACAGAAAGTACTTCTATTTCATCAGAAAAATTAAAAATATAAAAATTACATTTTGAGAAGTTTTTTTAATGTTTAATTCAATAATGTAGAACTAATTTAAAATTAATTTCCAGAAAATATTGTAACTTTGGCCCATAAACAAAGTGCTTATAATTGTTTTGATAATATTTAAATGTCACTTTTGAAAGATAATTTGTCATACCATGCTCTCATTTTTTTTCTCAATGCAATAAATGGCCGGAACGTAATTATAAAAAAATAATCGGTCTTTGTTGGAGCCTGAGTCTGGGTCTTGACCGGATCGTGAATCGATCAATTACTGTGAGAGAGGCCAAACTGTACCCTGGCTGATAATTGAGGTCAGCACTCTCCATATGGAGACAAAGTCGCAAGATCAGCGAACTTTTAGGGCGATAGAGTGGGAGGTGGGAGGTGCAATGATTCGGCTGGGGGCCACCTTATGAGGCACCCGCGATGGGATGAGATCTTGGGCAATGAATTAATGCACAGTTTCCCGCACACTCTTGGCACATCTCGCTCGGTGACATGTGACTTTTGGCGACTTGTGCAATTAAGAGCTGCAACAACAATCGCAAAAGTGTCGCAGTCGCAGCGGTAGTTACAGTAACAGATCCAGTGCCCCGTTCCATTGAAACTCACTCTCCGTGCCAAAACTCCACTGAACTGAGCTGACTAAGAGGATTATTTGCCACTCCGTTGCTGTTGAATCTCTGTGCTGCCCTGTAATCCGATCCACTCCATCTAACTCACACCGATTTGGGTGTTTTGTTGTGCTTGGCAAGTCATCTGGGTGGGTGGTTGAATACTTTACAGAAGCCCCTTTCGTTTGAGAAAAACACCAGCAAACCGATCCGAAGTAATTTAAAACAAAAAGCTTAAAACGAGTTTGTCGAATTCCAAGAGCCAAATAATTACACGAAACGCATTCAAGTTGCACCACCGGGTGTGCAAAAGGGGAACACAAGCTAAGCCTGTGGGGCTTAGGGAACTTGAGAGCTGCAGTAGAGTGGCCAAAAGAACCCGTTGAATGCTGATATAGCGTTTGGGACAGTCGGGGACATATAATCATTTTGAGAAACGCCACTCTCTGAAGAAGCCTTTTCTATTGAACATTTTTAAAAGAATAAGAGATTTCTGCTTTACTTTAGCATACAAAAACCAAATTAAAATATGTAAATATAAAAAATATAAAAGTTATAATCTTAAGAAAAAGACACATTTCTAATACACACAAAATATCACTACATATATATCGGAGCACTTTGCAGAAATACTAAAGCTTTGAAAAAGGTTTAAAACTCATTATACCCGTTACTCGTAGAGTAAAAGGGTATATTGTATTCGTGCAAAAGTATGTAACAGCTAGAAGGAAGCGTTTCCGACCCTATAAAGTATATATATTCTTGATCAGGATCACTAGCCGAGTCGATCTAGCCATGTCCGTCTGTCCGTCTGTCTGTCCGTCTGTCTGTCTGTCTGTCTGTCTGTCCGTATGAACGCTGAGATCTCGGAAACTATAAGAGCTAGAAGATTGACATTTTGCATGTAGATTTTAGAAGTTCCTACGCAGCGCAAGTTTGTTTCAAAATGGTGCCACGCCCCCTTTAACGCCCACAATCGCTTATATACGATTTTAAAAATTTAAATATTTCGGAAAAGTAAAAATGCAGTTTTATTGTGTTTATCAATACCTATCGAAATGTAGAAGAAATTTTTCAAATCGGACCATTCGTTAAAAAGTTATGCGTGATCAAAGTTTCTATCTCCATCTCCCTCGCACTCCCTTTACCTGAGTAACGGGTACCTGATAGTCGGGGCACCCGACTATAACGTTCTCTCTTGTTTTTGGATGTAGTTCAGAATTTCAATTTTATATAAGTAGTTTGTAAATATCCTAGAATCGATTTGTCATACCTATAGAAAATTCTTTTAAGCTATGCTCGGAACCAAATTCTAATGGAATTATGCAATTTGATACGGTTTATAAGGCCTTGTTAATCTCAATACAAATCAGTCGTAAATGAAGACGTTCGATATGAGTTTAGCACCATTTGAAGATTTTGAAGCTCTACCGATTTCCGACAACTATAGGGCTCCTCCTAGTTGTCCCCCACTCTTCACGTGGCACCCAATGGCGTACATGTGTATACCTAATGGTTCCATAGATATAAATAGTTTATATCCACCTGATGGAAAGATTGGAGGAAAACCTGGAGGAAAACCTGGAGGAAAACCTGGAGGAAAACCTGGAGGGAAACCTGGAGGGAAACCTGGAGGGAAACCTGGAGGAAAACTTGGAGTAATCCCTGTAGGTAGTTCTGGTGGTAGTTCTGGAGGTAGCTCTGTAGGTGGCCCTTGGGGAAATGCATCAGGAAATCCGGGAGGAAAACCTGGGAAACCTGGAGGTCAACCTGGAGGAAAACTTGTAGTAATCTCTGGAGGTAGCTCTAATGGTAGCTCTGGAGGTAGTCCTGGATTTGGCCCTGGAGGAAACATAGACGGAAATACCGGAGGAAAACCTGGAGGAAAACCTGGAGGGACCCCTGGAGGAAAACTTGGAGGAAGTCCTGGAGGTAGTGCTGGTGGTAGTTCTGGAGGAAAACCTGGAGGTCAACCTGGAGGTCAACCTGGAGGGAAACCTGGAGGAAAACTTGAAGTAATCTCAGGAGGTAGTTCTGGTGGTAGCTCTGGAGGTAGTCCTGGATTTGGCCCTGGAGGAAACACAGACGGAAATCCCGGAGGAAAACCGGGAGGAAAACCTGGAGGAAAACTTGGAGGAAGTCCTGGAGGTAGTGCTGGTGGTAGTTTTGGAGGAAAACCTGGAGGTCAACCTGGAGGGAAACCTGGAGGAAAACTTGAAGTAATCTCAGGAGTTAGTTCTGGTGGTAGCTCTGGAGGTAGTCCTGGATTTGGCCCTGGAGGAAAAACAGAAGGAAATCCCGGAGGAAAACCGGGAGGAAAACCTGGAGGGACCCCTGGAGGAAAACTTGGAGGAAGCCCTGGAGGAAAACTTGGAGGAAGCCCTGGAGGAAGTACTGGTGGTAGTTCTGGAGGTAGCTCTGTAGGTGGCCCTTGGGGAAATACATCAGGAAATCCGGGAGGAAAACCTGGGAAACCTGGAGGTCAACCTGGAGGGAAACCTGGAGGAAAACTTGGACTAATCTCTGGAGGTAGTCCTGGTGGTAGCTCTGGAGGTAGTCCAGGATTTGGCCCTGAAGGAAAACCTGGAGGAAAACCTGGAGGGACCCCTGGAGGAAAACCTGGAGGAAAACCTGGAGGAAAACCTGTAGGAAAACCTGGAGGAAGCCCTGGAGGAAGTCCTGGAGGTAGTACAGGTGATAGTTCTGGAGGTAGCTCTGTAGGTGACCCTTGGGGAAATGCATCAGGAAATCCGGGAGGAAAACCTGGGAAACCTGGAGGTCAACCTGGAGGGAAACCTGGAGGAAAACTTGGACTAATCTCTGGAGGTAGTCCTGGTGGTAGCTCTGGAGGTAGTCCAGGATTTGGCCCTGAAGGAAACACAGACGGAAATCCCGGAGGAAAACCTGGAGGAAAACCTGGAGGGACCCCTGGAGGAAAACCTGGAGGAAAACCTGGAGGAAAACCTGGAGGAAAACCTGGAGGAAAACCTGGAGGAAAACCTGTAGGAAAACCTGGAGGAAGCCCTGGAGGAAGTCCTGGAGGTAGTACAGGTGATAGTTCTGGAGGTAGCTCTGTAGGTGGCCCTTGGGGAAATGCATCAGGAAATCCGGAAGGAAAACCTGGGAAACCTGGGGGTCAACCTGGAGGGAAACCTGGAGGAAAACTTGGAGGAAGTCCTGGAGGAAGTTCTGGTGGTAGTTCTGGAGGTAGTCCCGGACTTGGACCTGGAGAAATCACTGCAGGAAATCCCGGAGGATATCCAGGGAAACCTGGAGGAAAACTTGGAGGTAGTCCTGAAGGAAATGCAGCAGGAAATTCTGGAGGTAAACCTGGAGGAAAACCTGGAGTTAGTCCTGGAGGTAGTTCTGAGGGTGGATCAGGAGAAAAATCAGGAGGAACTGAAAATTTAAATATCAACGATATTCGATTGAACCGTAGAGGTAGGAAGTCCTAATCATTGAATAATGACTAACCGAAAGTTCTACTAAAATGTGAATATGAAAACATTGGTAAAAAAAATATTATTAAATTCATTTAGTAAGAGCTAAATACCGGTATACAAATAAAAATCACTTTTCTGACTGAACTTTTTGTTTTCTTAAAAACGTTGGACGTTTTTGAAAATTTTATAATTTTGTTTTTCTACAATATACTTAAAGAAAACATTCAGAGAAAAAGAATTAGTGAAACCTTAATTATAATACAGCGAAAGACGTAGAAACGTTGATAATAATATAAAACAATAATATATTACGTAAAGTGTGTACATTTAGGTCGGAAAGTCAAGCTTATGCATAATCTCGAATCCACGACTTATGAATTATATATGTGAAAAGCAATACTCCTTATCTCTGTGGGTGCCCAGTCTGAGGCCTTAGTTACGTATTCGGGACTGTTATCTCCCCCACAGTGGATTTCTAATTGAGTTATTTGGACATTCAAATTGAATATAAAAGCAGCACAGTTTATGGGTATTAGGCATTGAAAAAAATAAAACTTTAATAAAATTGGTAGTTTTATTGAACCCTTTTGTATGTTAGACTTTTAATCCGAACATTCGAATAATTAATCGATAACAGATATTTTTCTACAACGTTTTATTCTAAGACGAAATTTTTAGAATTTCAAAAATATTTTAGTCTTGGGTTTTTTAAATTTTGAATAAAACCTGTGTTAAAGGCCATTGATATTGTGTTGTTTTATCAAATAATTTTGCATTTTTGTTAAGTATAAAATATTTTAATGTATAGCATGAAAAATTTGTATTAGATTTTTACTGAATGTTCAATACTTTATATTATATATTATATTATTATATATAGTATACCCTATTTATATTATAAAAAATAGAGTTTTCCGAAATTGCAAGACTTTATTTACCTTTAAACGTTATGTTCTTTGTTTTGGTTCTACTGAAACTCTAAAAGCTCTAAAAGTGTTTTGCCTTGAAATTAATCTAAATTAAATTAAACCATAAACAGCTGCGTAAATAAACTGATCTCTATGCCATTTTATCAAGTTTAAGAAATTGTTTTGGTGGAGGGCATGATAAATTTAATTGTTTGCGCCGAGATAGATGCCTCAGTCTTATCGTACTTTTGTTATAGTGTTTCCCAATAATTACTTCAACTGAAACTAGAAAAGCGAAAATTCCCATTTGTCTCTGTTGCCTTTTGTCTTTGTTCCATTTCTGTGAAGACACTCTTATCAGGGAATATATAACAACTTTGAACATCTCTTTGCTCCCATATCAGCAAAGAAATAATTTTTCCGTAATTAGTTACTAACGATTGAAGTATTTGTATGCCTTCTAAACTCATGGGACTTCACACTCCACGTGAAAGTGTCTTTGTATCTTTTTATCTACTAACACAGAAATCGGCAAGACAAAAAGCAGCAGAAAAACATAAAAACGAAGCAAAACAAAACAAGAGAAGAAACCGCGTTTAAAAACTTGTTTTGTAAACTTAACTTCCTGTATGCGAATCGCATAAGATCGCTTATGTATCCGTAAATGTATCTGTGAGTGGATTGTCGATACAGAGTATGACTGGATACAGACATGCAGTTTGGGAATCGTATATGGCAATGCAATTGTATTCACTTTCCATTTACTTTTGATTGTTCTTCAAAAAATGCGATTAAGATTCTAAAAATGAACTCGACGGCCCGACAAATGAATGAATGAACAATTAAACTGCAAACAACGAGAGGGACGGGAGTGGATGACTCATCCAAAGCCGAAATCTCCCCGGTTTGAACAAGTTTCTTTATTTGGCTATGACAGGCTTTCTGGCTAAAACTCGGCCCGACTGACCTTTACCATTTTGGCCAAGAATCGCACGAAATAAATCTTGTTTATTTTGCACTTGCTTGATCTTTCTTTTCCTCGCACTTGTTGAATGTCGTCGGATTTACTTGTTGTCTTATTTAATTACATCAGCCATCTCGCCGCACTCTTCGGGGGTTCAATGTCCCATGTCCAGACACAAAGGTATAGAAAAGACAGGGTTTTTTTTTGGCAAACAAGACAGTGAGAGAGAGGAATACTTAGAAACCTGTGCGTGATTCGCATCTTCATGGGCGGCTGAATACTCGGCGGAATAACCCGCAAAGGGCGTGAGTACGGAACTAATGCCAATTGATCAAGATCAGGCCACAAGGTGCACTATAAAAAATGATTTAAAATCAGCGACGTTCTCCGAATATAAATTAACTTGTTTGCCTTGTGTATGAAAATTCAATTAAGGCGAATTTTGTGTGGTAACTTTCCCATCGAACGAGGAAGAGGAGGCCTTAACAGCTTTTTCCATAATCCAACTCTCCTCCTTTTATCCCTTTCCACTTGGTGAGCCTTATGCAACAATCCACCTGTCACTGCCACTACTGTCCTGCATTTATGTTTAATATTCGAAAAATGCGAGCTCAACTCAATTTGATGTGGCCGCTTTCACCGTTCGGACTCTGAACATCCCTCTCCAGCCTGAGATGAAACATTTCATAAATGATGTCAATTTTCGGGACAAACTCAATTTATGTAATACTCTTTATCAACCAGGGAGTTATCTCTCCATGTCGACCTTTAATTAACTCACATTGTGCAATTCATGCGAGAGTTGTGAAAATCATCCGGTCGTTTGCACTACTATAAATATTTTCCTGAGTGTTTATTTTTCCCGTGACAGTTATCTGATTAATGAAAACATTTCCGATTGTGCTCCAATTAGAGATGTAATTCAGCAATGGTATTATTAAAGCTTGTTCAGTTTGCTGATCTCTAGAGTAAACATTTCCTGCTCCATTCGGCGGCTACCTCAACTAGAACAGGGTAAAATATGTTTGGCAATTGGCCAGAGAACCGAAAATAAATGGAGGCAAAAAAGTTTTGCTCTTTCATCATACTTTTATCCAGGGACAACTGCGGCATCTGTGACACCAAAACCTCCCTGGCAAAAAAGATAGAGCTAAAAAGAAACAAAATTTCAAAATGTGGAACATGGAAGCAATCCGTGGCAGCAATTGTGGGTCACCGAGCGGGAAATTCAATAGGGGGGATGAGGATAATTGATTAACTGGTCAGTGGGTGACGTGGTGCAGCCAGAAGTGCACTACCTAGTACTAATGGAAGCCCCTAAATCACACTTAAGCGGTCATCCATCCAACCATAAGGGTAAGCTCCCAAGTAAATCCTCAATTAGTTGCCATTTGCATGGGCACTCGGCTGGGAGATTGGAGGGTAGGCTTATGAAGGAGCCGGAAGGCAGTAGCGGCACAATCACCAGCATTAGCTTTTTGCTGATTTTCATATTCCTTTTGAGCCCCAAGACAATCGATAAATTTTCCCCTCTTTTTTCCTCTTTGGATGCGTGCGAGGAGGCGTGTTCAAGTGGCGTCGCCTCTTTTGTTGTCAGAGCTGCTGGTCTTTGGCAGCGTCGCATATTAATGAAAGGAAAATCGTTCGGCGAACTGAGCAACTGTTGGCTCTCACCCTGATGGTTATTGCAATGACGATGCCGATGCCATTGGCATCCTGTTTGTATCTTTACGATGACGATGGCCTCTCAGTTATCTTAGCCCATCCTTAAGCGGATGGGTTGTGTGGTCGAGTCACGCGTTTATCAAAAAAAGCGATGGATAATAAATCGCAATAAACTGTACGGGCATCTTATATTTCCAGAACTGAGAAACATGTCACGAAATGTTACACAGCAAAAGAAAAATATAAGCTTTAAATTTGAAAACCATTTTGATTTTGATCAATTCAATTAAAATATTGGTAAAAGGTATTTTAATATGACATTAATTTTAAATTTTTAATTTTTGTGATTAACCAGATCAAAAAAAGAAGGTACATGATTTTGGTTCCGCCCCCAAATACCTCAAAAATGAACTGAACTATATAAATTTGCTATATTCGAACACTTACAGCAAACTCTCGTAATCGTAGTGTTTTATAATAAATTCTGTAAATGGAGACAGTTTTATTTTGAGCTTTAAGGAGTGAGGTATTGCGTCACTATTTCATCTCGAATAAGGACATCCTCCAGAAAGCCAACGATGGGCACATGAATCCATCGCGCACACATGCACAAGTGTCTGAGTGTAGAGCAAGCTTTTAATAGAAGACGGCGTCAGCGAGCATCCTTCTCATCCAGCGGATGTCTGGGCCATTAAATGGGTGGGAAATGGAGGTACTAGGTGGGTGGCTGGGTTACCTCCTCTCGTAATTATCTTTTTCGCTCCATCTCGGTCGCATGTTGCAGCGACTCTTCTGTTTGAGCTCAATTAGTGTGGCAATGGGGCGAGCATTCCAGGAAGTAATTGTCGGCGTCATCAACTGGGGACTTGTACTCTATGGGGGATGGTGTGTGTAAAAGTCCCTAATGACAGTGCCGTGGAACAACCTATGAACTCTGAAAGTCAACTCCAATGCTCAGCCATTTCTCCCGTTTTTATTCCAGGATATGCCTCAAAGCTGATCGATTGACCGAGTGAAACGATTGCGCCGCCAGTTGGTTAAATGCTACATAATGTCGGGCAAGCACATCGAACAGTATACGAATCCCTCCTTCGAGCAGGAGTCCGACCCACCGCCTCCAACAGGGGGCGTGGCAGATGAGGGCGCGGGCAGCACCAACAAAGCCAACGATGCCGGCACGGAAAATCGCAAAGGTCACAGGTGAGGAAATCGCTGCAGTTACCAGTTTCTTGTTTCCATATTATTTTTTTTCGGTTTTTATTTGGAGACATTAGTCGCAAGAAAGGGAAATACTATTTACCTAATTTGACACTTGCCTTGGGTAAACAAACAAATGTACTTCCCTATACTCCGTTCCATATCAATAATTAGCTGTGGGTGGGAGGGACTAGAACTTCGTGGCACGTGGGTGAGCCGGATGGTGGCTTAATAATTCATAAGACTGCAGCGCCTTCGCCCCGTCATAACCAATCGATAACAGTCGATTACGATGGGTCGGTCAAGTTTGAAATATTCAAAGGCCCACAGGCAGGAAAAGGAAAGCGTGACAAACAAGTCCAGGGTGAGCACGTGAGCTTAAAGGCTCGACTAGCTCGAATCGCTCGATTCGCCAGCTACCGCAGTCATCCGCGTGCACTGCCAGTCGAAGGAACTCCGGAAAACGGGAAGTCCTGAGGACCTAGGAAAAAGCCAGAGGGAGTGAGCCAGTAGAGCATTTGTGGTTGCAGCTGCCAAGCCAAGTAAGCGGTGGGGCCAGGAGGAACCGAATGTGGGCCGAAGGATGGGCCAGTGTGTTGGCCAACAGCCCAAAGAGCTTGACATTGAGTGGGCCAGGCGTCCTCGCCCTCGGGCGTCCTTGGACCGTCCATCGCCAAGTTCTAGGCCGCCTTTAGACAGGCTGACAAAAAAGACATAACATTCTAAAGCAAGGTTGAAACTTTGAATACCCTGGTCTAAGGCGAACTAAATCCAATCTTTACATAACATTGAAAGAAGTTAGTTGTTTGACAAAATATAATTTTAAAAGTACATTTTTTTTGTTTTTGGGATGATCATCGACGTTGGTAAACAAAAGGTATACCAATAAAATAATTATTTGTAACATATTAGTGCTAAAAAATGTTTTTTAATTCATAAAAAAGCTTAAAGCTAACACACAAATAATCTAAATATATTTAAGAATTCAGAACATGATAACAATTTTAAAAAATAATACTAAATCAAGAAATAATTGTATGCAATTAATTTGACATATAAAAAAAAATGTATTTTGTTTACAAGAATGTAAAATTCAAGGATTTGGATAAATATAAGTATTAAGAAGATACAAAGAAGATCGCAAGGTTGGCAACCTTATTTACAGTCTTTTTTAGTTAAATATATACGCCTGATCGGATATTCCTGTCCAACAATATTCCTATAGGTCTCTTGTCACAACATGTTTGGAAATTAGGTTAAAATTGAACTTTTTAATGAATTTTGGCTTGGGGTATGGCAAAAACCCAGTAAAAAATGCAACAAATCAGAGCTTATTTTCAAATCCTTCTTTTTGATCTGACCACGGAAACAATCTCACTTGCAGGCGGCAGGAATCGATGTACCAGATGACCGGCCTCTACTCGGAGACGAATAGCGGCGACGACAGCAGTATAGATGCGGCCCTCGACCAGGACACCCAGCCCCATGCCACATCGCACCTGGCCGGTGAGCAGGTGCCGTCGACAGTAGCCATAGGAGGCGGAGGAGGTGGAGGAGCAGGTGCGTCAGTGGGAGTGGACAGCGTGACGGTCAAATGCCACAGCCGACAGGCGTCGGCGGGCAAGTGTCCGGCGGATCAGGAGGAGGACTTCGACGAGGAGCAGTTCCGATCGGGCGATTGCGGCATCCTCAACTGTCGGCCCTATGGCATCCAGCGTTTCGCCCGCATCAAAATCTTTGTCCTGCTGCTCTCGCTGCTGGTGATGATGCAGCAGGCCCTCTGCTCAGGCTATTTCAACTCGGTGATCACCACGATCGAGAAGCGCTTCGAAATCCCCTCCAGCTACTCCGGACTGATAGCCTCCAGCTACGAGATAGGCAACGTAATCACCGTGATCTTCGTCAGCTATCTGGGCAGTAGGCGGCACATCCCCGTGTGGATTGGAATCGGAGCGGTGATCATGGGCATTGGCTCGCTGGTGTTCATGGTGCCGCATTTTACGGGCGAGCCCAATCCTGGCATTGCGATCGTGAACAAAACCAGCGACAACATTTGCAGGAGTGCACTGGTTAGGGAGCAGGACATGGACCTGGGTCGCCTCTCCAGCGGACTGTCCAACCAACCGCTGGCGCCGCACACATTGCGCGAGGACAACTGCCTGGAGGGCAAGGCATCCACCACGGGACCCGTGCTGCTCTTCGTGCTCGCCCAGCTGCTCCTCGGCTGCGGCGGAAGTCCGCTTTTCACCCTGGGCACAACCTACGTGGACGACCACGTGCGGACTGAGAGCTCGTCTATGTATATCGGCTGCATGTACAGCATGGGCGCCTTTGGACCCGTGGTAGGCTTCTTGCTCGGCGCCTACCTGCTCTCCTTTCACATGGACTCCTTGTCCTCCACCACCATATCAATCAGTGAGTAATATCCCTTTAAGATCATTTGTCTCGTCCTTATGATGAGCTAAAAATAGGGTTTAAACCGAAAAACTGTTTTAGCTTAGCATAAAAATGGGTCTAAAAGCACTACAAATTAAACAACATTAAAAATAGGTTTTAAACTGATAAATATTATAGCGTTCCACAATACAATTTTTTTTATATATTCTTATATTACATTTTAGTGAATCCATTACATAATTTTATTTTTCTTTTTATTCTTTTTTAAGACTTTAGCCATCAAATCTCATTTGTTAACTAACAAAGGAATACAAGAATTAATAAAAATAAATTAAAACAATTCCACTGAATAATTATCGCGACAGACAAAATACGATGTATATCTTTATATATCTGATCAAAAATAACATATTCAAGAAATGAAAAGGCAACTAATATCCCTGATCCTATCCCTATTTTAAATGTTATTAAGGATAGGAAACAGTTTGATTTCTTGAAGTGTTGTTATTGCTCCCAAACTAAACTGAAACTTTATTAAATTTATTGATTTCTTTCAGCACCCGGCGACAGACGATGGGTGGGAATGTGGTGGGGAGGCTTCCTGCTGTGCGGAGTCATTCTGCTGGTGGTGGCCGTGCCCTTCTTTTCCTTTCCCAAGGTCCTCGCCCGCGAGAAGAAGAAGATACGGAAGAGCAGCGTGGTGCAGCCAGTTCTGCCAAACAACTCTGGGGCCACCGCTGCGACCGATGAGATGGGCAAGGTAAAGAAGCTGGAGATTGTGGCCGTGACCAGCAAGGAGGACGAGACGCAGCCGCCTCCCAAGGTGGACACGGGGTACGGGAAGGATATCAAGGATATTCCGCAGTCGATGCTGCGCCTTGTGAAGAATCCCGTTTACATCGTGACCTGCCTGGGAGCCTGCATGGAGCTGATGATCGTCTCCGGTTTTGTGGTCTTCCTGCCCAAGTACCTAGAGACGCAGTTCAGCTTGGGCAAGAGTCAGGCCAACATATTCACCGGTTCGATCGCAGTGCCTGGAGCCTGCATCGGCATCTTCCTCGGCGGCTGCATCTTGAAACGGTTCCAACTGAAGCCCAAGGGCGCCGTCCAATTCGTCCTGATCACCAACGTCATCTGCCTGGCCTGCTATGCGATGCTATTCTTCCTCGGCTGCGACAACCTGAAGATGGCTGGCACTACGATTCCCTACACCAGCAACAAACACGGATCGACACTGGAGCAGCCATTCCAGGTGAACCTGACGGCGGCTTGCAACTTTGGCTGCGAGTGCCTGACCAGCGAGGTGGAACCGGTGTGCGGCAACAATGGACTCACCTACTTCAGTCCCTGCCACGCTGGCTGCACGGCCTTCTCGTCTAGCTCCAACTACACCAACTGCGCATGTAAGTAAACTCTTGAACTTCCAAAATTATTAATGCTTTAAATTAATTGAGATTGTTCTATTTTAATTTCATTATTGAATGTGTGCCTCAGTCATATAAGTTTATAAGTGAAACATTATTTTCTTCTTATCATAAATATTTGTGAGCTGTACATGAAGTAATCAAAATACATTTTTATTCTAGTTGTAAACAAATTTTTAATTACAGTTCAAATCTGAACTGGTACTTTAATTGAATTACTTTATGCCATTGTATAATGTTTCCTTATCTGTTCAATACAAAAAGGGTTAATATATGTGGTCATTAGGTTGCAATACAACATCTAATTAACATTTAAATTACCCTTTTTTTTAGGTGTTCACGCCAACATCTCGAGCAGCATTTATCGGGGGGCTGGTGGCAGCCAGGCCCAGGCGCTCAGTGCCAACGAGAACTTCGCCGAGGTGACGGTGGTGCCGGTGGCCACCGCTGGACCATGTGCCACACCTTGCCGCACTATCTACCCGTTTCTCATATTGCTCTTCTTCATGACCTTTGTGGTGGCCTCCACCCAAATGCCGCTTCTCATGATCGTGTTGCGATCGGTGTCCGAGGAGGAGCGCTCCTTTGCCCTGGGCATGCAGTTTGTGATCTTCCGACTCTTTGGTTACATACCTGCTCCCATCCTCTTCGGAAACCTCATCGACTCTACCTGCTTGCTCTGGAAGTCGTCCTGCGGCGAGAAAGGAGGTCGCTGTCTCATCTACGATATTGAGAAGTTCCGATACAAGTATGGATAAACGTTGTATTCTTTCAAACTTCTTTTTGTATATCATGTAATAATGCTTTTCAGATATGTTGGTCTGTGTGCGTCTGTGAAACTGGTGGCTTTGTTCATCTTTATGGTGGATTGGTGGTTGGTGAGGAGACGCAAGCAGCTTGAAAAAATGAAACCCCTAAACGCAAGCGATCCCATCATTGGTTCCATCATTAGTCTAGACAAATGTAAGTTTTGTACTCAATTTAACTTTTTAGGGTCGATTTTTCTGCATAGTTAGTGAATTGGGTAAAATTGTGTGAAACTCTTGCCTGTAAAGCGGTTTGCCTAAGAAGAAAAGATATATCTTAAATATATATTCCTATATTTCCTATAATTTTTTGCAATTGCCGTTTATTCCAATTAAATTTGTATTTATTTCTTAATTACTTTATAATTTTGCAGTATTTGAAGAGAAGCTTTCTGGCGCCGAGCCGACCACTGCATTTGTTGGAGGTGGAGGAGAACTGATCATACCCACAGAGATACTTCGCCATTCCCGCAACGATTCACGCACCATGCAGATGGATTACTGGTAAATCTATTTATCTTTCAGTTTTTAGTACTATTTTACTATAAACTACATTTTCTACAGCTACGACAAGTGCGGTCATGTGGTGACTCCCGCGAACACGTGCAACCAGCCGCAAACCAAATCAAAGAAACACTTCCGAAGCGCCTCGTGTGATGTGAAGATGATCAAGAGCTTTGCCCGGGATCACAACTCATCCAGTGGGCCGGCGGACGCGGCTGGTCAAGATGGAGGTGCTGCTAGCAGTAAATACAAGAATCTCAAAAAGTTCCAGGCACACACGCGCAATCACTCGACGGATCTGCATGATCCTAGCCAACCAATCCGATATATTCAAAACCAGCTCCGACCGCAGGACTGTGCCGAAGAGGATGATGACGACGAGCTGACCACCGGCTGTGGGCACTTTGTCAAGAAGCACTCGCGAAACCACAGCTACGACCAGATCTACATGCCCAACAACATACGCTTTGATGCGGACTTCCTGCGTCATCCCCATCCTCACCACAATCCCAAGAAAAATGTAAATGTACTGAAGAACGTGGTGACCGATATTGGCAAGCTCAAGAACTCAAATGAAATGGAGGCCGGTGGAGCTGGATCACGTGGTCATTCCCGCAACAACTCCAAGGACTTAAACACCAAAATTCCCAGTGGAACTCCAGTTAATAGTGGCTCTGGGCAGGGAGGACCAGATACCAGCACAACGGGACTAAGTGTGCTGCGGCATCGGCGTACCAACTCCAAGGATCTAAATTACCAAGTGCTGCCCGAGACTTCCCAGCACCCGCATCCACAGCACACGCGGAACACGTCGCACCACAAGATTCAGATCGATGATGATCGAAACGAGCTCATTAACGACATTGATGACGAAGAGGAGGAGCGCTCCAATTGTGCTTAGTCTGATGCCAATTAGTTTAAGCTAAGATTATCAGTTTGTGGCAGCAGCAGAAGTAACCGCATCGGCTCCATTCCTGGCGGCAATCGCCTCTTCGTGTTTTTTGTGTGTTCAATGCCCGTTTTCTGACGAAATGACTTAACTCTCAGCTGCTCATTGTACTTACGACCGAGTGTTCAAATCTACTTTCCTCGTAGAAGACATCTGAAAATAGAAATCTTTTGATATATGCAAAATTCAACCAGAATTCAAATCCGAATCCGATACGAATACGAGTGCGAATATATTTGCAGCTAATAGTTACGTTACCAGGCAGTAAAATATAAATCCTAGTATGCAACTAGAATATTTTAGGATAGGCGTAGATCGTTGTGATAGGAATATTTTATATTGTATTTTTAGTGGAGTGTAGATCCGTTAAAAGCCGATCAAGCGATCGAACTGCTCGACACGTTTCGCTTTAGCTCGACTATGTGCAATCTCGGTTTCGGAGTGAGACGATTGACTGAGAAACAGTTGGAGAATGGAAAGAGAAACGAATAGCAAATTACAATGTTTTAATAATCCGAACATGTAAACAATTGTCAATGGAAATTGTGCTGTGAAACAATGTGTGAGTATAGAAAACAAAAATTACCGAAATCGTTGGATAGAAAGGAACTGGAAATACGCTGAATGTAATTCTTATGCAATACATTATTTAGAGAATCTTTGTGGACAAACACGCCCACACATTGTGCATCCAATAGAAGGGTTCGAATGAAGAATAGATCTAGACTAGTTTTACTAAAAATCTTAAATTCCCTGTTTTAATCGTAGCGAGATGTGCAAGTCTAGCATAGATTTTAAAACCGAATGATGTACTTTAAATGCGATAATGCCTTAAACAATATCAATTAATTATACAAGTAGATAAAATTAGTATCTCAACTGAAACGGAAATTCAACCGCTCCACACGGTTGATTTCCTGCGCACTGCCCGAGTGCAAGACCCCCAGTAGTCCTAAGTGATGCAATCTAGGTTAATTAGTACCAACTAATTCTATGTTTACACCAGCCAGCCACATACAGTAGGAGTGGAGGAGGAGTGCTCCACGAGCACTAAGTAGATACATCCATATAAATAAATATATGTATACAATTCTACATTAATAAGTACCTACGCGTAGCTAAGAATTCGTATCGGGATATGTGTTTGTACAACATAACTTATACATTATTGAAGAGCGATTTTAATACAGACCACAAGAAAGAAAGTGAGTCTTAGGTGCAAAAAATCATATATATCTATATGTATATGCGGAAAGTATGTTTAAGGAATACATATTTTTACTTAGAGAAAATATTGCAAATAAACTAAATAAGAACATGTATGAAATGAAAACAATGAGACTCCTGAAAACAAAATAAACAAATATTGTAATAGACAAATGAAAAATTGTTTTTACTCTAAATATGATAATAAAAAAAAGAAGGAAGGTTTCAGTTTTTTAAATGACGGCGCCAATTCAAGTGAGTACTCGCATCCGGAACTACATTAATGGTATGACCATACCATATTCTCGTTTAGCCAAGACTCAAACCCAACCTATCTTACATTTAAATATAACATTCGTATCAAATATAAATTAAATAAAAATATAGCGATAAATGATAAACCATTAAATTCATAAGCCATTTCAGTAATACTATGAAAACTCACTCCCATATATCAAGAATATTTTTGAGAAGATTTTTTAATTTGCTTGTTAACGAAAAACATTAAAAAACTACTGTAAGCCCAAGCTTATTGTTTTTTAGAATTAAGAATAAATAGTTTAGGAATGTTTCCAACTTATAGTTAAGCAATTTTAGCTGTGAGTGTAAACTTAAATGGCGGGAGAAATGTAAAAAATAAGTTTCTTTTAAGAAAAATTATCATGGATCACGTATCACACCTAATTGTCTTCGAGTCAGCTAAAAATTTAGTTGGGAGATAAATGATAAACCATTAAATTCATAAGCCATTTCAGTAATACTATGAAAACTCACTCCCATATATCAAGAATATTTTTGAGAAGATTTTTTAATTTGCTTGTTAACGAAAAACATTAAAAAACTACTGTAAGCCCAAGCTTATTGTTTTTTAGAATTAAGAATAAATAGTTTAGGAATGTTTCCAACTTATAGTTAAGCAATTTTAGCTGTGAGTGTAAACTTAAATGGCGGGAGAAATGTAAAAAATAAGTTTCTTTTAAGAAAAATTATCATGGATCACGTATCACACCTAATTGTCTTCGAGTCAGCTAAAAATTTAGTTGGGAGAATTCGAGTCGCCGTAGTTATAATATGATTGATTTAATATTGCAAATTTGCATGACATAGTTTTGATATTCTCAAGTAATCGAATAATTTCCATAGTTTTCAGCAAGGTAACTCTGGCAGCGATAACAATACAAACCAACGCGCTGATAGCTTATCTTTACTGTTTTCAGTAACAAAAGGGTCCCTCAGTCGCTGAGTAACATTTGCACTTAAAAACATAAGTTTTAGGAAAAAACCCAATGGAGAAGCGTTCCACGTCCACCATGCAAGTGCTCTATGCAGAGCTGGCAGCCGGTGCGTATAAGCAATATCGTTGCGTATACGTAATGAAGTAAAGCTCCTTTACAGCAAAGGCTCGAAGTGCACAGCTTGAGGAGGAGAATATTCTACTGCGCCATCGTCTGAATCGCGCATCTGCCAGCCACAGTAGTAATGCTGCCGAAAATGTGGAGGCCAAGATTTTGGCCTTTCAATTGGAGGAGGAGCGCGATCGTCTGATGGAGTTGGTGCAGCAGCACAAAAAGAAGTACAACAAACTGCATGACGCCTATCTGGAGAAGGTGAAGCGCTGTCGAGCCCTGGAGGAGATGTTTAAGCGGCAGAAGACTCTTACAGGCTTGGTGATGAAATCCTCCCTGGATCAGAGACATGCAGGTGTGATTATGAAGTAGTTTCTGCCATAGATCTAGTTATTAGATTTCCCCCTTCTAGAGCAACGAATGATGATAGAGAAGCGACAGTCGGCCCAAAGTGATCTCAATGAATTGCAAGAGCTAAAGGCCAAAGTCGAGAAGCTACAAAGAGCCCTAGACGAGTCATATGACATTATCGATGAAATGGATTTTGAGCTAGAGAGCGTAAGTACCTCACAAAAGCTGAGGGAGTTTTAGTAATAGTGGATAATTTAAAGGTGGATCTACTTGAAATGCAAAACCAAACTTTACGGGATGAGGTGGCTGCTTTGAAGGCGAATTCAGAGGCTGGAGCAACCAGCTTTGCAGCTTCAGTTCCAAATGATGATGATCCTCCGCCCAAATACGAGGAGGATTATCCTGGTGCTCATCACAAAGCAATGTTGGCTCGTCGATCCTCTTCAAGCAGTGAATCCGGCCCAAAGGACGACGATGCCGATGCAGAGACCATGGAAAGAGCTGCTCTGACCCATAGCGTATGTTGAAGTACTATCATTTTCGAATTCTATGCGTTCTAAAATTCCCGATTTTCAGCTTATCCAAACTGTCGAAACGGAGAGTAATTCCCTGAGACGAGAACTGCTGAGGTCCCGCTGCCAACGAACTATACGTGGAAAGTTGGAAAAAGAAAGTGAGGATGCTGATTAGAAAAAGTTGCACGTTTCGCTTCATAAATTAGGTCCAGTCCAACCACAAATAAAATTACAACCAGTAGATCATAATGAGAAGTACCCAAACTTAGGCTGATGAAACCTATCAATAGACTTACGCACTGTCTGTCTGGTTTGTCCGCTGGACTAACCCAGATTCGGAGCTAGCTACGCCTAACAAGTGCACATACCAGAGATTGCTTTTAAGGTTCGACAAACACGCTCTGCGGCTGCGTTAAATCAAAACTTTTGAGATAGATTAACCTGGTTTTTCGGCCTGCTCGCAAAGGAAACTCGTCTAATGGCGATTAATTAAAATATTTGTTAATGCCATCGAACGGGTTGTGGCCAGATTGCTTGCCAAAGGATTTGGCCTCTGAGCCATGAAGGTTCCAACCCCCAACACTTGCCCCCATCCCATTTCCAATCTGAGTGGCGCGCTATCCATTAAAACATGACAATTATTTTTATGACTTAATGCAGTCGCAGGCCTTGTTGCCCAATGCCTAATGTTGCAAATTATTGACAAAGTAAATTAATCTGCACATTTGTTGGTTAGACCAGACAAACTAGCGCGACACCTCTAGATCACTAAGCTCTCCCACTTGGGGCATTTTTCGTTTGGCTGCTTATCGAATGTGTGCAGTGTGAAAAAATATTTGTTTACAAAGAACTTTCTACAGCAAACCCTATAAGTCTTAAAAGGAATAAGGTAAATGTTGCATATATTTCTTATTAATTTGTATCACTATCATGTTAATTTTTAGATAATAAACAAAATTGCAGCCAATTTAAAGTTATATTAAATAGAACAGGCTCAATCTAAGACATCACTTTTATACGATTGTTGATTTAAACATTTTTATCATAATCATATTAAAATTAATAAAAAAAGCTACTTTTTCGTAAAAAATGAATACAATAAAGAATGTTTAAGATATTAAACAAATTTCCAGGCGATTTGAAGTTATCCAACTAACTTTTTAACTGTGGAAATGAGGACTTGGTGAACATTTTGGTTTCTGTGTGGCAATATTGCTTAGACTAGAGCAAGCCACAATTTGCATATTTCTTGTTTAATTATAATTTTTCGGGGCTCACTTAATGAGCGCGCTCCGCTTGAGGCGGCGATCTTGTTTGGGAGGCGCGTGCCGAAAAGCGACACGACACTTTGGGTGGATTGCCACATCTGAGTCTGGCCTGGTAATGAGTGGTGTGGTCGTATATAAGCAGCCGAGGACTACCAGATTAATTACTTCGATTCCGATTTTCGTCGAGTGCATTTCAATACCCAAAGAGTTTTAAGAGCCTTAAACCAAAATGATGGGAAAAGTGAGTGGAGTAGGTCTGCTATACTTATAACTTTAATAAAGGGTGATATATCCTTTTTAGGCCACTTATTTGTTGTGCCTGTGCCTGGTCAGTGCCGTGTGGTCCATTGAATTGCAGCCGGAGCCGGATTACGGGCCAGTGGCCTACGAGTTCCAGTGGTCGGTGAACGATCCTCACACTGGGGATATCAAGAGCCAGAAGGAGACGCGCAAGGACGACAAGGTCGAAGGTGTCTACGAGCTGATTGACTCCGATGGCTATCGTCGCATTGTGCAATATAAGGCCGATGATCACAATGGCTTCGAGGCGATTGTCCACCGTGAGCCCACGGACATTAAGATCCCGCTGCCTGAGCCGCCCAAGAAACTCTTGGCCGCCAAGATCCTGACTCCGGTGCTGCCGGTGGCTCCACTTGTACACTATGCTGCCCCCAAGGCCATCATCAAGCAGGAGCTGCCCTCCGGTAACTACGTCTCTGTTTCCGGACCCACAGCTCAGTACAAGTACTGAACGGATCTAGACACTGACTTCAGCCTCACAAACCCATTAGGATCCCCGCCTTGACCTGGGAAAGCTTCATTGCCATATATCATAATTAAATTATAATTAGGCCATTAATTGTACATACAGACAGCATACATACATTTATAACTAACTATAAAGATGCATCACATTCAATCTGTTCGCAGAGGAACACAAAATCTATAGAGTTTTTAAATGGGAAAGATTTGGGGGAATGAATTATCAGTAAATGGTGATAAAATATTCAAAAGCAAAATACTTTTTGCTTCGTGGGTTTTAAATGGAAAAAAAATATAATTTCGGAAATTGTGATAAAAGAAGAACCTAAAATTTTAAAAACCCACACATTTCAACATTTTTAAAAGCATTTTGTACATTTATGTACATAAACTTTGTAGAGATGTGAATTAAAAGAAATAATCGCAGCAGAGATTAAGCACATTTTATCAGTTCACAAACAAAGCACAAAAAACGGTAGAAATTTTAAACGTCGATAAAAACTGTTGAATGAAAGCTGAATGGGAAATGCTTAATTTAACTTAAATTTATTTTTGGCATGGCTTGTAGCATAAGTTGCACATTGGATAGTTAAATTCAGCGATTGATGTCTCATAACAAGATGCGTCATGGCTCAGGTGGCTCCAAATTTTTGATAAGCACAAACTAATGCTATCGCGGCCAGACGCGACACGGTCCCAAAGATGACTCTAATCTCACGTACCTGCTGCCCAATCTCACTTGGGGGCGTCCAATTTCGGACGCAGTCGACGTCGTCGATGGCGGTTCTATTGGGTTTGGCTAATGGTCTGGCCAAAGATCAATGGAGCATCAGTGCGAAAATGGTCTGCTCGGTGGAGACACGAAAACTATTGGCCATATTGCTGGTGGTGACCCTTGGCTTTTGCCTGGGAGGATCGAAGGATGCCGAATCGGATGCCAAGTGGATGGCCCCGCTCAAACAGTATGGATATACTGCCAAGCATCTGAAGAACAAAGTGGAGCACGGGGAGTTCACCACTTTCGAGCTGGGCACACCCAATTACCAGATCCTAAACCCCCAAGACGAACCGGAGTATATCACTGCGGATCAACCGCACTACCAGGAAATGCTGAAACGACTGACCAGCGCCAAAAGTGGCTCGGAAACCATTGATGTGGAAATGGCGAGTAGAGTAACTCCCGATCGGAGTCGAACTCAAACTCCATCTAGAATCCAAGAGGCACAGGTTAAGCCACAGTATAAACTGGCACCTGATGGCCGGGAGAAACTAAAGAAGCGCAGCTCCATCCATGGAAAACGTAATCGCATGCAAGCTATGGAGTATAAAACAACGTTTGAACAGGATTCCCTCCCGGACATCCAGGTTTACTCCGGAGCCAGACCATTCCAAAGTCGTGTGGCCAACCTTAACTAAGGCACGGTCTCCGAAATTCGAGTTGTTTTGATATTTGTCTATGTTTCGTTTTTAATTGAAATTTAAAGCACTTTTATATGAATAAATATCAGGCGGTAGTTTGAACGATTAAACTTATTTTCTGTTTTTCTTTGATTGATTGTTTGCAGAATTTTAAGCTTTAAAATTATAAAGAAGAATCAAAAAAAAATGTTTTATTTCCTCCTATTCATAACTGATAATTTGTTTAGCTCAGCATGATATTGTGTTTTAATCGTTTTTTTTATCCACTATTTTTGTGGAAAGTTTTAAGAATAAAAAAACTTAATATATTTGAATTACGCCAATATAAATACATATATCAAGTTTAGTTTTGCCAACTTAAGCTCAGAAATATTTTTTTGGATTATTTTTTGTTATCTTATGTTTAACAATTTAAAAAAAATTTTTGTCTGGCAGTTGACTATTTTTTTTATTATATAAATATGCATTCGGGTATGTATTCTATTTTATTTTTATGCCCTGTATGTAAATTTATATTTCTTAATCAGTGCTAATCGTTAAAAGTTGTAAAATGATAATCGATAAGGCAATCGCCAGCAAAATATGTATTTATCCGTAGCGTACGTGTAGACCCAAAGTGTCAAGAAATTACAACCAAAAATTGATAAGTTTATCGACCCCAGACGATAATATCAGATCTAGGCCAAGACCCAGAAATTATAAATCCCCAAACTGAGGGCGAATATTGTGCAGAACCGAAAAAAAGGTCAGCGAGTGCGGAATGGGCTCAGCTAAAAACCCATTTACCATTGTGGAACTTGGCTACTGTAAGGACTTACTGAAGTTAAGAGCAGGGGGTAATATTAATGCTATTTATGGATGAGCATGTTCATGAAGCCATGAACCAGAGGTCATAAAAGATATGTTTGCTAGCCATGTTCACGATTGGACAACTGTTGTCAACTACTTGATGCTATCGCCGAGTGCGGGTAGATGTGCTTGAATGTGTATTACGGAAGCGGCGGCATCTTGCGATTGTGTGGCCCATTCCCATACCCATTCCCATGCCAATTTCCATTCCCCGGACCCATGCCCATTCCGGAGCACCACCATGCCCCGCTGCGATCCATGGGGCGTTTGGAACGTGACGCGGTCAACGCTTCCGCGACCCATTTGTTCGGCGTTGTAAGTGTTATGGTGGAAGAAGAAGCTCTCGGCCAGCGCAGCGTATTTAAGAGCTATTCAGCGAATTGCATGAAAGAGTTTCGCACGCGACTGACCAACAGCCAACAAGTGCCATTCGATTCGGCGATCCGGGACAAGAAGAAATTCCAGCAATTGTAGGGAAAGCGATCGCGAGCGAGGGAAAGATTTAGTGGAAAGGTAAGAACTGGGCCAATCGATTGGGTACGATTGCGACGGAGTTCTGACCCATTTTTAACCTCCACCCCCTCCCCCCCGTTTTCCCCCATTTCAGATGTTCGAACGCTGCAGTTTATTGTTTGCGGCCATGCTGATGGCTTCGACTTTGATGACCCAAGCCCATTTCCCAGAGTATTGTGCGGAGTGTGAGCAGGAGGTGTGGGAGCAGGTGCCGTGCAGCGAGGTGCCCACCACGGTGTCACCGACGACGACCAGTGGCAGCACCGCAAGACCACCCACCACCGTGGTGGTGCCCAGTACCACAGATCATGTCTATCCCACGACTACCAGTGCACCACCCACACCCCCGGATTACACCACCCAGCCGTCGGCGTACAAGAAGTGCTACTGCGAGTGCAAGCTGGGCTGCAAGGAGTTCTGCCGCAAGGTGGTCTCCTCGGGACCCAAGCAGCCGCTCACCCAGATCTCCTCCATCGGGGAGTATGCGCCGGGTGGCCAGGTGGAGTACACGCATGTGCATCAGCGCAAGTACTTCCCCAAGTACGGTGGAGATGGCTACAGCGGACTGGTGGGACCCGTGGGTGGACCCAAGTCCTATAAGCCCTATCCTCTGGTCTACGAGCAGGCGGCTGCCGCTTCTGCTGCCTCACCGGCGTCCATCTCCTCGGTGGCCTCCTCGCCGGCTGTGGCCAACATAGCTGCTCCCAATTACACGCTGGAGGAGCTGGCCCAGCTGCTGAGCACAGCCTATGGCAGTAAGAAGGGTTATCCCGCCAGTGTGCCATCTCAGCCACGCCAGTTGCAACCGGCTCCTGTGCCAACACCCTCCGTTTACTACTCCCCTGTGCCTGTGTACTCCAAACCGGTGGTTCCACTCGTGAGCAAGGTGGCTCCGGCACCCAAGCTGACCTCCAGCATTAGGTATGCCGCCTCGGCGGTTTCATCCTCGTCGGGCGGTACAGTGGTGAAGATAAAGACTCCCTACGAGGAGAAGATTGTGGTGGCCACACCGCCTCCCATTTACGACAGGACCACCTCCTATCCGATTGTTGAGGAGCCCAAGGCGTATTCAGCGCCCCAAACAGAGGCCTATCCTGTTGTGCAGAGCCAAACGGAATACCCCAGTCCTACGGAATCGTATCCCAGCCACAAGGAGTCGTACCCCAGCATCACGGAGGCATATCCCAGTCAAACGGAGGCATATCCCAGCCAAACGGAGGCCTATCAACCCCGTACGGAGAACTATCCCGTACCGGAACCTCAGCCGGAGGTTAAGCCATATGGTGGACCCGAATCCGGCCCTGATAAGCCATCCTCGACCTTTGACCTGGCCATCGATAACTATCTGAAGGACTTTGGATATGGCAACCAAGGAAGGGGCTATGTGGACTACTGAGTCCCATTCGTTGTTGTTAGGTTTAGACATATTCCTAGGTCTCCTTCTATTTATTTATGTTTTTCCCCTTTTCTGTTGACTTAATAATGATTAAAATATTTAAAAAATGTTATATATTGAAGTTTGACTGGTAAATTAATGATTGTAAAATTTGTAATTTATTTATTTAGGTACTTTGTAAGGTTTATTATTATTTCTCTAAAAGCAATGCATACTTTTGGGCTTTGTTGATAAAAATTTTAATGTTTTTTTCAAGTAAGCAGTGAAAACTAGTTTCCAATCTAAACGAATATTTTTTAAAGGATAAACACTACATATTTCAAAGGTTTCTTAAATATTGTTCATGTTTATAAAAATCGGACTAGTTTATATAATAGCATTGATTTGACACAGACTAACATTCTTGAAGAGGAGTTTTAAATCAACAATCATATGGTTCATAAAATAAGGATGCAGATGTTAAGATTGTTAAGATACGGATTCTGAGTTTAGAATATAGATTTTACCCAATCAGTTTCTTTGGCAATATTGCTTAGAATTATCTATAAAATAATTTCCCCTACCATATTGGACCTTTAATTTTATTTATATATTTAATTTAAAAAAAAACAGCATTTCGTAATAAATCCATAAAACATCATGAGTATTTCGTAAGCAACTAATATAAAAATAAATAAGAAATCACCTTATTTGATTATCCTCAAGGTTGGGAAGATTCCATCTTACCGTCCAATTAAATTCGGTCAATCAAACATTTAATTTTTCGGCTTTGACGCATTTTATTATTTGTATTTAAAAAGTTTCCTTCATTTGCATTCATTTTTGATATACTTTTCTTGTTGTTGATAACATTGAATAAGATTTTATCTTACGTTTTTCGCTAGCTTGTTTCTTGGTATTATGCCTTCCAATCTGATAAACATGATATATACACAAATTAGATTCATTAAATTTCGTATGCAAATATATATTTTTATGCATTTTGAATATTTTCAAACAACGCTTATATAACCGTTGATCAAGGCGAATGCAAATCGATTTTATTTTAAATTTTCTCAAATTTTACGCACCAGCCGACGATTTTGAGTTTAAGTCTTTCATTTAATAACGTTCTACCATTGTCCGATTTACGTTTTCCATCTTGTGAGGGATGGATAATGCCTTTTCGATCCCTAGATCGGACTCACAAAATAGCCGAAGAAAGCAGCAAGTTTAATAGTTCACTATAATTGCACTTGATAGTATATATATAACAAATGGAGTAATTAGAACAAATTGCAGAGTACACTTGCAAAGATGCGAATGTGCGGTTTTATTTCTTTTCAATAATGTATGCATATAAAATAACAAATAAAAAATTAAATAATAATATTTAGAACATATTCGTACATCGTAAATGAAGTGAAACTAAAAACAATAAATTGCAACACGTTGAAATAATGACGTCGTCCCAGCTATGAATTTAAACGTAAATTATCGAGAAGAAAATAATTATAGTTATACGATATTTTAAAATGTATATATACAGCTTCATTCATTAACAATCTCGATCCGTTGCTTTAAAGTATATAATTTTAAGATTCTGTAAATCCGCTCAGACCTTCTCGAATTCAATTTAGTTTCGAAAATGTTCAACTGGTTAACCAAAAACAGAGCTCGAGTCTTGAGATATCTTGTAGCTATACTGCTGCTGCACCTTTTGTTGTTGGTGCTGTTTTCGGTCCCACAAAATTTTGCTAATTATACAAATATAGGTGTCACATCGTTACACTTTTAATATATAAATATGAGTACTTGTATTATTCAGTTGCCTTTTGTTTTGATTAAGTTGCTGACTAATGCATTTTCAATTGCAAATAGGAAAAGTTTCTTGGTTTTAATGTTGCCTTGCATTTGCCTAGGTTTGCTTTCGTATTATGTATTACATTGAGTAGCCAGAGTTTAAATAAATTACGCGTTTATTTATTATGATTAATCATTGATTAGGTTAAGGTGTTGTTTGTTTGTTTTGTTTTGTTTTGTTTTGTTTGTTTTGTTTTGTTTGTTTTGTTTGCCTTTATCTTTACATTAAATGTGTAGAAAAATTCGTTAAATTGATTTGCATATAGTTATTCGATCTCCTCTCCAGCTCCCGGTTAGCCACAAATACAAAGTTTAATTGGCTCGACAAATTAAATGATTGGCTGCACAGCCACGCGGTTTAAGTATTTAGTTTGCTACGATTTGTGCATTGCAGTTCTGCGCTATGAGTTAATTTAATTATCCATTATTTGGCTGCAGTCTAGACTTGTAATTCGATTTCTTTTTCCCATCTTTAGCGTGTTTCCTCATGTTATACATATGATATACATTAATGGTACTTTAGATACTTAAGTTGGTTTATAAACTGGTTACTGCAAATGCTAAAAACTTATTAGCTCTCCCACCTGCGCCCTCGTGGGCCCCTTTGCCCCACATTGTCCCCGAACCGGCGAATCTCGGACTATCGGTGGCTGCCAAAACCACAGTGGCTCAAAGCCAGCCGCTGCCCCGAATCGCCCATCCCAAATCCACCACTGTCCCGCGTCGTCCTGTGCATCCTTCGGCGCTAGGTGAGCATGTAGACAAAGAGCAGCGCCAACGCGACATTGAAAATCAGGACAAGCAGCATCAGCTGCTGGCGCACAAACCAGTCCTGGATGAAATGGAACAAAAATCAATATATATTTAAGAGAACTTTTATAAATAAGGATATAAAACATGTACAAATACACTATTATTAATATAATTTGAGTAGATAGGTGGTTATAAGTAAAACCATTTTCATTCCGTGCTATCCTTAATTGAACAGAATTTTGTTTATAAAATTATAATTAGGTAAAAGTTAAATTTATTATGATTTAAAAAAAAAATTGTTTTTTACTTAAAGATAGCTAATAATTCAATGATGAAAATATTATATTGCATATGACACGATGTTACTTATGACCTTTTTTTGGTAACATATTTATAATTAAGAAGAAAGCTAAAAAAAATAAAAGCTCCGAAAGGAGATTTTCTAGTTGTTTTTAAATTCCTTACAAAATTAGTTGACTTGTGTTGAACAGAATGTAAAAATAACTTTAATATTTAGTGTCAAGAGCATAATGTGCATCTTGTATAAACTTGAAAGTGAAATGCTTGTTGATTGCATTTCGAAAATTTAAAAACCTCATTAATTAGGACTGAATGCGCCATTAGCGTCAGTATTTTGAGCATGTAATGCCAGCACAAAGGTGGTTCAAGTTAAGTGCACTAATAGTAAAGCGATTTCGGTGAAAACAAATCAAGTGCGGCATTTGGCATGGCGAACTAGTATACTACATAAGTATCGGTGTTCTGGCACTCACCTTAACCTGTGGACTGACCAAATACAGCAAGGGATTCGCCTTGAGGCGCTCGTTGACCTCGATCTGGCGACGCACTGCCTCCCGGCGGGCGGATCCCAGGGCGGACACCTCCTCCCGGCTCATGGCCTCCGTGGCCCGCGGCAGCTCCTGGAAATCGGGCATGGACTTCTTCCGCTGCAGCGTCACATTGATGGGCACCGACTGCAAAGAGGGGCAAAAGGAATTCCAGTAATTATTTCAGCACTATAACGATGAGGTAAAGAAGGGACTATCCACCTCCACGGGCGGCTCAACTATCCAGCTCTCACTAGCTCGCCTCGCCAACAAAGCCGGCGAGAACATGAGGTCCTCCTCATCCTCCTCCGGATACCAGTCCATTGTCTCCTTTGATTGCTTTACTTTTTTGTTTTGGGGGAAAAAGTTCTACGGCTGGTGCAGCTAAATAGCCGCTTGCATAACGTTGGACAATTTGTGTAATCTTTCTTCTACAGGCGGTTCCAACTTGTAAACGAGTTGGACATGGCGTTCCGCCTTTACTGAGCACCCAGCACCGATATTCAGACGCGGAGAGTCACCGTCTCCGTTGAGGAGCCAAAAATAGTCCCACAACCCGCCACAACGGCACTGAGCCAAAACAACAACGGATATTGTCGTTGCGCTGACTCTTCGCACAAAATTGCTTTTTGCTTTCAGAATTCCTATGTATTTTGCTTGTTTTGAATGCCGCACATATATAATTATAATGGTGGGGGGGGGGACGGGTGGTAGCGTTTTCTCGGAATCGAATTGGTGGTAATCCGTTGAGGCCGACGCGTCGTTTGCTACTACTACCCGTCACATTTTGGGAATCCGTCGCCACCACAAAGAACCAAAGGCGAGCGACACTTCCCGAGAGGATTTATTTATTGCCATGTCGCCGGCCTTCCAATGGCCACTTGTGGAGCGTTCATTTCGCCGGAGAGTCAGTGACTAGGGACTAGCCACCGAGAGGAATGCCGAGATTCCGAGATTCCGAGATTCAGAGACTCGGAGATTCAGCGGCACGCATGCATTCCAACCTGGCCGACGACGGCTGGCTGATCCGGCTGGCGTGCATTCGTGCCCGGCTATAAATAGTCCAGAATGGGCACATGTTCGCCCCTCGAGGTGGCCGAGAAATGTTTCAAAATGAACACTAAGTCTCCGGCTCTCACTCGCTCCCACTATCACTGCCACTTTCTCCCCCGCACAGAAGACGGATGGCCCCAGAATTAAGTTAATTGTGCGGATTAACTGTGTTATGAAATATCTCAGGCGGCCGGCCCGGGAATTCAGATGACTCTCATCAACTCTAGATTCTCTCAAAAACAAATTAACCAAATAATGGCGAGCATGCTATTAGCAATATATATATTTAAATTTTCCAATTACTCTTACTTAATTAGTACGGAAAATACCAATGACTTGGTGGAACTAAAGAAGTTTAAATTAACACAAATTTAAAAACATTTTAAATAAAAGCGAGAATAAAAATGTACTTATAGTACACTGAAATAATTGAATTGACAATACTCATTTGGCAAAATACTTGACAAAATTTATTATAAACCCTATTCGGTGTATAAGACTACAAGTTATTACTGCAATTTTATAAAGACTTTGGTTTTCTTTCATTCTCGTTTTATAAAAGTTCCTTTAAAAAAAACATTTAATCAGTCTAATCAAAAATGTTCCAATCTCTTTGTTTTGGTTTAGTATCAAACGTTTTCGATGACAAATAATAATATATATTGAGGACAATCTTGTTTAAGGACAAAATTCTTAAGCCCCTAAAAAAAAAAGCCACTTGCAATTATTTGTTTAAATTAATAATTATATAATTATATGATTATATGATTATATGATTTTGAAAACTGTTTGTGTGTTGATAAATGTTAATCGAATTGTTATATGCCGCCCAAAAACAACCCTTTTCTCTATCATGTCTTTACAAAGTTTGACAATCTGTGTCATTACGAGTAAAAAAAATGGTATCAAATGCTAATAACTTGTTTGCTTGCGCTTTACTCACCTTCATTTTCTTGCCGCCACCACCGCCGCCGCCTCCTCCGCCCCCTTTTCCGCCCATGGCCATGCCCACCGGCGTGGCTGGCTTAACCGGAAGGTAGAGACTCTCCGTGCGCTTGGGCTGCGAGGGCGAGGGAATGATGTCCTGGCCGAGCGTCCGCTGGCGCAGCAGCACGTCCTCGAACGGCTGGTTGGGCGAGGAGAAGAGGGGCTCCGCCTTGCCCTGGCTGGGCGCACGTCCTCCGGATCCCAAGCTCGGGGTTCCCGCTCGCGACAATCGTCCGGCTCCCGTTCCGGAGGGCAGCGATCCGTTGCCAGTCATGGTCGATGTTCCGGCTCCAGGTTGCGGGGTGGATCCGCGGAATACTGAGCCCGCCCGGGGGCGTCCATCGGGAGTGGTGGTGCCGCCGTTGGTCAGCGGATCGGCCAGTCCGGAGCGGTCCAGCGATGTTTGCCGCGATCCGGAGAAGGCTCCACTGGCGCGACTGGCCGCCCGGGCATACCGATCGATGGAGGAGTCGCGACTGGGCGGTCGTTTGTAGTGGTCGAAGTGGTCGATGGACGACTGCTGGCCCATCTGGCCCAACATGGGCGGCCTGCCGCTGCGTTGTTGTTGCAGGGCGGCGGCATTGGCGGCCATTGCTGCGGCACTGGCCGCCTCCTGGAGTTGCTGCTGCTGCATCTGGGAGGCGCGACGCAACAGATTCGAGGCATTGTGGGTGGGCGAGGCGTGCAGCGAGGGTTGCTGTTGCAGGGACAGCCCCTGTTGCTGCAGGAGTTGCTGCTGTTGCTGTTGTTGCAGGAGTTGCTGTTGTTGTTGCTGCTGCTGCTGCATCGTCTGGTGTTGCTGGTGACCCATTCCTGCAAGAAAAATAATTTCGAATTATTATTTGTTATCGAATAGTGAACATAATTATCTTGTTCACATTGGGCTAACTCCGCTAGAACATTTGTTCTTTGCTTTAATTGCGGATGGTAAAGAATTGTGATACTTGATTTTTCTTTTTTTTTTAAAATATAATTTAAAATATAATAATACAAGATGAATATATTAAAAATTCCTTAATAAGAGATAAATAAATATTACCGAGAAACAGTGAACTAATATTCAGCTTACCGATTTGCTGTTCCAAGCTAGACTGTTGCTGATGTTGCTGCAACTGTTGCTGTTGCTGCTGCTGCAGGAGTTGCTGTTGCTGTGGCGACATGCCCGCTTGATTGGTGCCAGCGCCAAAAGGCATCTGGTTCTGATTCGGTGCCTGGTTCTGCTTGAGGTTCGAGTTGAGATTGGGATTGATCTTGGCCTGGCCGGGCGGCTGCTGTTGCTGGAACTGATATGCAGGATTCATTTGCGGGTTGCTCTGTTGCTGGGTCAACTGTTGCTGCTGTTGTTGGTGCTGCTGCTGGTGGTACATCTGCTGGATGGCGCTGATCACCTGGGCGTGGCTGGGCTGGCCCTGGCTCACCATTCCCGACAGGTCCGTCTGCGGGGAGACGGGCAGCTGCTGCGAGTACATCGACGGGGGTACGGGACACTCGGACTCGTGTTTCTGCTGCGACATGCGACGCTGCTGCTGCTGTTGCTGCTGCATGGTGAGATATTGCTGCTGGCGCTGGGCCTGGGTGGCATAGGCATCCGATCCACTGCTGCTCGTGGGCGAGAACTGACCCTGCTGCTGCTGCTGTTGTTGCTGCTGCTGCTGTTGCATGCCCCCCGCCCCCATTTTCACGGCCGCATCGGAGGCAGCCGCTGGTCCCGGACGGAATCGCTCCCGTTCCCGGAAGCGCAGCTTCTCGAATCGCTCCAGCACCGAGGGCTTGAAATCGGGGGCAAATTCCCGAGCCATCCGCACCGCGTTTTCGCAATCCATGCGGGCCTGTTCGGCAGCAGCATCCGCATTCTGGGCCTTGGCCGCCGCGGTGGCCATCCGGGAAATGGCCATGTCGGAGCGTTGCATGGCCATCTTGAGGGCACGCTGGGCCGCATTCACCGCCGCCGTGATGCGGTCGCGGAATTTGCGCGAACGCGCCAGGAACAAATGCTTCTTCTTCTGGCTGGTGATCAGGATGTTGTTCTTGTACTTGCCCTCCTCGACTGTTCCGTCGCGGAAGGTCGTCACTCCGTAGCCGTGCTTCCGGTTGTTGTACCACTCGCCCTCGTACCTGGTGGGGATTTACTGTGTTAATTATGCATTTGGATTTAAAATATATTCCACTCACTTGAGTCCGTCGCTGCGCTCTGCCACACCGTGACCACAGCGCTTGTCCTTCTTCCACTCGCCCATGTAAGTCTCCACCACCGTGGGGTCCAACTGCTCGTCCTCCATGGTGAAGCTGGCATTGGACTCTGTGTGGTTGGACCTGGGAAAGAATTATTCGGATTTAGTTGTGTTCGTAAAATCTCCCTTTGCTTAATTAATGCAAGCCAGATATTAAAATAAACATTAAAAATAGAAATATTAAGCACAAATAAAATACACCTGCTTACAAATTTTGATTTGTTGTAAGTGAGTTTCTTTATTATCATTTTAAAAGGAAATATTAGTACTGAGATATGGAAAAAATTTGTTTTCGTAAGTTAAAAATATATAGAAAGCTAAAAAACTATCTATTCTATTTTAACAAAAACTATTTAGTACAAACAGACTTCCTTTGGGCGATTATTACTTTAAAGAAATAATGTACCGAGAGTAATATTAGACAAGAAAGAAGTGTCGAGTGTAAGACTGCGATAATCTGCTCTTTTAGTTTTTGAGATCTCGACGAAAAGCTTCGAGGAAAAAGCTTCCTTACTGTTACATACTTTTCAAAGAATACAAAATACCCTTTTAATTTACGAAAAATGCATAAAAATACACGTCTAATTTTAAAAATGTTATGCATAATCCTTTTTATGTAAAACTACTCACTTTGTGGTCAGGTTGGACTGCTCGGATCCGGTGCTGATCCAGGAGGCCGAGGACATGGTGGAGCGTATACTGCCGGACGCAATCGTACCCCTCTTCTCCAGATCGCCGGTGCTGCGCTGTTTGCGCATCTTGAGGCCCTGTTGTGGGATGATACAGAATTGAATAGGAATTCGTCACCAAAATAATTAATACCCCTTCGGCACTCACCATAAGGAATCCCTTCTTTCCGGTCTTATCCGTCAGACTGTTGCGCCTGACCGGCAGCTTATCGGACTTGGCCGTCAGGACGAATCCGCCGCGGATCTCCTCGGCCTTCTCCACCATCTTGGCCGCATTTCCATTCTCGCCGCTCCGCAGGGAACTCAGGGAGGCATGGAGATTCTTGCGCCGGTGGTGCGAGGCCAATCCGAAGGGCGCCGAGGTCCTTATTCCATATCCGTGCCTCTTCCCCTCCTGCCACTGACCCTGGTACTTGCCTGCAATACAAAAGGGTGCATCAAACGACTGCAGTCCACTTCCAGCAATTGTTATGCTAATGGAACTCCCATTTCCACTTTCCCCTGCAACATGAGTTGGCCGAAGTGAAATGCTTGCCCTTTTCTACTGGTTTCTATTAATGGCTCCACGCGCCATTTCCCTTCTGCCCAATGGCATAGGGTCTTAAGTAATACGGCTCATTTATATACAGAAAGAAAATTAAATCAACTATCGATTTTTATTTTTTTAAAAACGGAGAAAAAAATCATTTGAAATATAAAAGTAATAACATCAGTAAATCAAACTAAATTTGATGGTGACTGTATATATTTTATCATCTCATAAATGTGTAAGTCCTGCTTTCATTTTCTTCCAGTTTTTCTTTCTTCTAAACATAAACAATATTACATCAAATATCGATTTTAATTTCTTAAATGCGGGAAAAAGTTGTATATTCCTAAACATATAGAAGGCTAATCCAAGTTTTATGATGTTTGCATATATTTCATTATATATCAAATGTATAAGCCCTCACTTTGTTTTTCCAACCACTTTCTTTCAGTGTTTCTTTACCCGGGAGCCAGGTTAATTGTGGAATTAGAATTTACGTTAGTTGATTAGGAAATGCTACTTAGCCGTCGGCTAATGCTAATTGATAGTTATGCGTCAATTCGTTTGGGAAAAGGTCGACATTTACATTTGCACTTTGGCCGCAGAAAAACAATATCTTAATGGTGGGAATGTCGGATCTTGGCCAACTTTGCAGGCGGCACTTGGTTGTGTTTTGGCCATGTGTTTTTCCCTGACTGCGAATTTCCCCAGAAAAAGCCGCACTCATGCAGCAAAAATGTACGTACAAAGCGAAAACCGAAGCGGGAAAGCCAAATATCATTGAACCGCGCGCGGGGAAATAAAAGATGACGTCAGGCTGGGTTGTTGTCGGTGGAGGTAAGTGTGTAAGGATGTGTGTGCGACACACACACACACACACACACTCGCACACACTCGCATCCGTGGGCTCCCACAAATGATTACAGAAACGTCAAAAAGTAAAACAACGGCAAGAGAACTGAAACTCATGTTCGCCGTTTTGAAAGTGAGCCAAAAACCAAACGCAAAATGATCTCATGCACATTACGTATACGCAGCGTATGGCGCCTAGGGCCCACGAACCACGCCCCACGCCCCCCGTCCCACCCCGTCCATCACTTACCCCCATCCGCATAGGTCTCGCATCCGGACCCGTCCTGGTAGCCCTCGTTCCAGGTGCCCTCGTACTTGGCCGTCGACACAGTGCTCTCGCGGACCCCGTAGCGTCCCTTGTGCCCGTCCTTCGACCACTCGCCGCGGTAGATCTGCCGCCCGATCTGCTCCACGCCCAACCCGTGGCGGCGTCCATTCTGCCACTGACCCTCGTAGTGTGAGCCGCTGTAAGTTGGGGGGGAATTCAATTATTAGATACCATTAACAAATATAGCTTTAACGACTGCACAATCCTTTTCACGCGAAAAAACCCTTTAAAGTCTGCCAGCTAATAATAAAAAATTCAGATGCAGAAAAATATCTGAAGAAAAGGTTTTTCAAAAACTGATTTTAAATATCATTAAATACTATCTATCATTTAAAACTGTTGAAAACTATATTTCAAATACTAAATGAAAATAATTAGTTGATTTCCATTTTGATTAAATTATACAAAGTTGTTCAATTTAAATGTTTTAGAATTGTTAAATTTTGTTTAGATTTTTATAATATTAATGAATTATTAGTATTACAAGTAAAATTGTATCCTGTTCTGAATTTAAATTGGGTGAACTTAATAATATTTCGATAAGTAAGGTTAGAAAAATTAATGATCTTATTAGATCAAAGCTTTTTATTATTTAAATTTTGTTTTGAAAGTTTTATAAGTTTATATTAAGTTTACGATTTTACCAAAGTTATTGGTACCAAACTAGGTACGCGAATAAACTCATAAAAAATATATTCTGATTAATTTTTGTAATATTTTAGACCGTTGACACAATACAAGTACGGTTTTTAAAAACAGAAGAATGTCTTTCTTTTAGATTCATCATTATGACGACTCCAGTAGCTTACAACATTAAAACACAGAAATCAATCTGATCACATCACTTGAATTTGAACATTATTACTATTCTTCTATCATTTAAATAATATGGGTCAAATCTTCAGCGTAAGATAGTCTGACATATTTTTAAAGACGGACATGGTGTCTAATAATCCTTATATACCAAAATGACGAATGCACTCCCAGGGTTATAAATTCTTAAGAAATTGCGGTCCTCCTTTAGCTCACGGTCTTCAATAAAAAAGAGACTGTTACTTAACTAAAGGAGTTGCGAACTTACAGGTAAAGGTTTATCTTTGGACTATAATTTTCTTTCTTAATGTTGAGGACAAATCGCACTCACCTGGGCCAGATGTACGATCCGGACACCTCGAAGCCGTAGTTCCAGGCCCCGGCGTAGGCGCCTTGGTGCTTGGGACCCGTGCAGACGCCGTGACCATGGGCCTTGCCCTCGTCCCAGCCGCCGCAGTAGGTACCGCCGTCCTCGAAGTCGAAGCGACCGCCGCTTATGGGGCCACGCCTACCGCCGGCCGCTTGGGAGGCGGCATAGGCGGCAAGGTCGCCGCCATTTTGCTGCTGTTGCTGCAGCTGCTGCTGTTGCAGCTGTTGCTGTTGCTGTTGCTGTTGCGGCGTCAGTTGGCCAGCCTGTTGCATGCTCGAGCCTCGGATTTTAAAGTTTAGGGCGGTTTAAAGTTGTGGATACTGCTGCTTGTGCCTTGGGCTTTTTGTGCCGCCGCCTGCTGCTCATTGATTTTCCGCTCGATTGCTGCACTGGCTGTTGCCTCATCTGATCCTGGTTGTGATATAGTGTCTATAGTTCGTTTCGCTTGGTTTCGTTTGCTCTGCTTAACCTAGTGGTGCTTTACGGCTAGTTAATAAATGTTGTGTGGTTAAATTGTTGGGGTTTTCACTGAAACGCGAAAGTTGCAATTTGTTGTTGCCGTTCTTCGTTTAACCGGCTCGCCTCTTAAAGTTGCATAAACCGAGCGTCGGATGTCAATGTCCTCTGACAGTTGCGGTTATGATTCTCTATGCTAATGTCGTAGGCCATCCTTGGTCATTTACCAAAAATAAGTCGGCGAGTGATCTGCAAGCAGAGGATAGAAAAATAGTTCATACATTTTATTAGGAATTCGAGGAAAGCACAGCGGGATTTCCAGGAAATTAATCACATTATGTAATTGACTTTACGTAAAACTTAAGCGCATATACAGGGGCCATAAAAATCTATCTCTCAGCTGTAAGACAAATGCATAAACATTTACTGGATTTTACTAAATAAATCAGCGAAACGGAACTATCCGAGTGGGGAAATGGCGCATATTTCGGTTGATTTATAAGGCGCGTTTAATTGATTTTTATCTGCCGAAAGTCTTTAAAATTCCCCCATCATTCTGCGTCTTGCCACGCGCGAAACGCGATTTTTATGGTCTGAAATGGACGGGATGAATGCAGGGGGCTGTTGGGGGAATGGGGTTGCAATATGAAAATACCTTGGAGAAAAACGAGGGCGAGAGGATGACGATGTGAGGTGACGATGCATTATGGATTCGATGTAATTGCATTCGATTGCGGTTGCAACGGCCGCTTTTTCTCCTAGCGCGATTCGTTTTTATTTTGCCTGGCACTGGTAGCAACCGAATCTATCATCGCATATATACCGTATACCGTATATCTATATCTGCCCCGATGTGCCTGTGTGTACTCGTACTCGAATATGTGGATTTTGGTGTGTGCACGAGCCACGTCAAAGGCCGAAATTCTCAATGGCAGACCACCTCTCGAGTGGGTGGTGGTTTGCTCTCAGCTGTTTCCCTGGCATATACATATGTATGTACACAAGTGTGTTTAGAAGTACGCCCGATAGCAGTAGTAGAAAATTACGAAAAGTGCATAGTAGCAGGCGAATGCCACGAAAAGCACTTTCAGTGTCTTCATGGTTTTGGTCTCTTTTCTGCTGTTACTTGTATTAAGATGGTTGAGTTTTCCCAATTTCAGGCACGGCCATGTGTTTTTCAACTGGAGCCGGTGGAATTTTTCGATGAGTAATCTCAGACTCTGTATAGTACAAAGTTTATTATTTTTGGTAGTTTTTTTTTGTTGGATTTCAACGAGTTTTATCTACACGAATGGAAATAAAGATGAATTTTTCCGAATCGAATTTTAAATGATTTCCCTTAAATTTCAAGTGAATTTCAGTTTTTTGTTTAAAAGTAAATTTCTGATTTTTTTACAAAATATTCCGGGAAAGCCCCACTACAAGAAAATTTAACAAAGGCAAGAGTCCGGGAAAATCGCGTATACGCCATGTTGCCACTACGACTGCAGCATTCCTCACTAAGTGCAACGCCAAAGGGCCATGTTGTGAGGGTTATGCCAAAAAACTTGAAAATTGCTTCCACTCAATCGGGAATTCAGACGAATTGCAATTCACTGGAATGGCGAGTGCTCCATCACCGCTGTTTGAACTATTCGACTCTCCGGTCTTGTTTACTTTAATCATCTTGCAACACGACGTACTCGGCAAACATTCAGCTTCTTTTTGGCTTCAGTCTGTGTGTCGGTGTCGGCATTAGCTTCTGACTGCCTCTCGCATTTATTGTTCTTTTGCGGTCGACGCCAAAACGATTTGGGTTTTTCGAAACGAGATGAGTCGAGACAAGACGCCAGGAGAGGCGAATTCTTCAGAAGCTTTGTTATTAATAGACAGCGTACACACACCGAGCGGAATCGAGAAAAGTTCGGGGAAAGGGGCAGAACAAAGAAGGGTGTCTCCCTGTCTCTCTCTTTCTCCCTCTCCGTCTCCTTCTCTCCGTCTGGCTATGTTGTTTTGTTTAAACATTAATGATGATGAAAACACACGCAATCAGGAGCAAGTTCTCCTCCTTCTTGGGCAACATTTTCCCTCTTCCCGGGCTTTGTTTTAAACAAAATGGATTTCGAGCTGAGGAGATTTGGCCAGAGCATTGCAGCAACAGGCGGAACGTGTTTATGGCCAGGTGAGATATGTTTGCACACCTGCTCGAAACTGACAGTGATGGGAAAACCCCAACCTTCTTGACTAGTAACACCGAAAAAGCAAGTTACTCTATTTTCTGGTCTTACACCATAAATTAAAATGTTCAAAACAAATCTAATTATAAAATAAAATCATGTTTATTGTATGCTTGTTAACATGCCTTTAAACATATTTCTAAATTCCAGAGAATTACATTTCTCGGCAAGTAATAAATCAGAAAAATCCTATTTAAACACCCAAAATACATTTTATTCGTCCTAATACTATTAAAAAGGTCTATAATACAACTATACTATAATATATAAAGTTTTTTTGTATGAGTTGTCCATGTAAAATACCAATTTTTGTTTTTATCATATTCGTATTCTTAACATATTCATTAAACTACCAATTATATAAGATATTTCACTATTTTATTTATAGTTGGACTAATGAGATCTTGCAAACTTTTAAGCATAGTGAATCAGAAATTGAGGCAGTTTTGTCAATAATAACTATAAAGATGTTGTTATATTATTACTAATCGATTTCTAGGAAAGCTGGAAGGTATGAATTATACACCCATCAGTGAAAGTAGAAAATTTAGAAGAAGGAATCTAATTTCCACCCATTAAACGAATTTACGTTTTGTTTAGAAAGTACACCAGTCCTAATAAAACGGAAAAATTTCCATGCTTTCTCTTTTTATTAACGTGTTAAAAAAATATTATTATATCATAAATGTTTATTTATTTCAAGAATTAAATACACAAAAGTTTAAGCACTGGCTGAAAATGAAGCAGTAAAAACAACGGAAAATCCGCCAATCACTGGTATAAATCCAGGTGATAGATCTCTTGCACACATGATGGAAATGGGAAATCTCTGGGCCTGGGAGTCTGCGATGCTTGGTTAACCATAAATTGAAGCTTTATCGCTCAGACAACAAATAGAGCAATCGATCCCGAGCGAGCAGCCTTAGTAAATATTTCCCAGGCCACATTATCACTCTCTGATAAAGAACATTTACGTATGAGCATTTATTTATACCCAGGCCAGCGGCCAGAAAACACATTGCTGAAGACGGGTCGGCATGTATCATTGTTATTTTAAAAGATTTTCGAACAAAGCTAAAGCGAAAGCAAAAGCAAAAGCAAAAGGCAAACAAAATGGGATACAGCCGAGAACAACTGAATTGAACTGAACTGAGCAACTGAAATTCGCTCGCCAAATTCGAGCAACGAAAATATTCGTAATATTGTTCAACCGTATTTTAGTGCTTGCCAAAGTCTATTTCATTTTTACTCTGCTGCCTGCTTTTCTTTTCATTTTCTTCAACTGGCAAAACTGTCCCCGCCCGCGTTTGCGTTTGCGTTTACGTTTTCATTTCTATCTGCCTTGGGCTAGATGGATAGAAAATTAAATAATAGTCCACTGACTGACGTCGATGTTGTTGATGAGCGGCGATGTTTGTTGGGTGCGTTTTGCATCTTGTATTGTGCTTTTCGCCTCAGTTTAGTTTAGACAGCTTGCACTTTAATCAATTCGCACTGCACTCTCCCTCACACACACTCGCAGACCCACACACACACACACACACTGGCGCACCGACACACACTCATACACAGAGATACACACACTGAAAGCGAACACGCAGCGTTCAGTTTTCGGTATTTTTAGCATATTTTTCGTACAACTCGCACTATATTATATAGAAGATGGCCGAGCCAGTCAACAGCAGCACATTCTCTAAATTGAAATTATTTATAGGTTCACATAAATTAAGTATTAACACCCAACAGGCCCGACTACTGTAGTTAGTCTAGAGTACCCTTGCACTTTTGGGTTTTTCTCTTGACACGTTTTTGCTGGGCACTGCATTTTCCTTTAAAAAGATGTCAAGTGGCTGGTCAAAAAATGCCCGTTGACATTCTGACTCCTTGGCCTTCTTATTGCAATGGATTTAAACTTTCGATTGATCTGGTTTTTGTTGGTTCCCCAATGGATTTACAAACTCTAAATGGCAGAATTGGGTCCAATGGAAATTAATTGAATACAGGGCGAATATTTTAGCCATCTCGCAGGCTTATATGTTGTATTAACTGTAGCTCCTGATATTTATTTGTATTTTTCCTCCAGCTCGTTTCGTTCGTTAATCTATATTGTTTTATAACTTATTTAACGCAACGAAATTTTCCACTCACACACGCACAGAAGCAGCGAAACTCGGGCAAATTTTGTTAAGAAAAAAAGATGTGTGTGTGTTTGTGAGTGTGTGTGTGCGTTTTGGCCGCACAAACACACACACGTTAAAAATAGCAGAAAGTCAATGCGCGTTGAAAATGCTGAGGTTCGAGAGTTGGTTTTGAGTTGAAAGTTTCGTGCCTTAAAAATTGCTGCTAATTCCAGAAGAACGGTCGTCCGAACGGTCAGCTGTTTTTGGAGCAGCGGATTCCGCTCCGGATGCGGATGCGAATGCGGATGTGCGAATATGAAGAGCGAGCGGAACGCACGAGCGGCGGGCAGCGACTGGCGGTCGGTCGAGATCGGTATCGGGGATTGGAATCGGGGATCGGGATCGGGATCGGTACGGAATCGCGTAGTAACGACGGCCACACGACGAGACGACGGGAGAAAGAGTCTCCCCGCACCACAGGGCGGATGCGAACCTCTGAATGGGACCGCGTTGCGTATACGCCCAGTTAAACTAACTTTCTTGTGCGGGTCCGACGCGACATTCGAGCGACACGTCCAAACGCCAAACGCTTGCAAAGCGAAAAGAAATCCCCGCCACCATTGACGGCATATTCAAGCCAATTTACTCTCACACTCTCGCGTTCATCGGGAATTCATTTCAGGGATCCCTCGCTGAATTCACTCGAGCGACTGGAAAGCGACAAACTATAGAGAGAATGAGAATCTGTCGCTTCTGCATTACTCTCTCTCCCCGAAACAGCTGTTACATAGCACACAGAAAACACCCGGCTACTTATAGACCAGTATGAGCAATATTTGGGCATAAAGAAATATAAATGAACAGCAGGAATCGTGATCGTTGCCATGCATCCATCGCAATAATGTATACTAAA